AGACCCATAGAGGGTCTGAACGATGCTGGAAACATGCCTAAAAATCTACAAAGAAACTTGTGGTTGCATTATAAAGCTGCTCATCTTGATCCTGACATTACACACTTCATTCTTCCCTGCATTGTAATACTTCCCAGGTTTATCTGCAGACATTACAAAAGCCCATCAATGACCAATGCAAAAGACAGTGATGGCCACAACTCTGCCTCTTCATGTAAAGAAGCCTTTCCACTAGGACTTTTGGAATTAGCCACCCCTGCATGAGCATATGCTGCAACATGCTTCTTTCCTCTCCAGTGAATCCCACTTATGCGTTGCAGACACAAATGTCTGATTTTATTTACAAAAACGTAATCAAGCACTCATCCTGATAAGAAACAATACTGGGACAAATATGTGCATGTAAAAGGCAGGTGTCATGTCCTGATATTTTTACCTGTGTGCACCTAATTATTAAAAAGAAATGGAAGTCACCGAAAAGTATCATTTTGGGCTGGAAGTTCAAGTAATATAACCAAAAAGTCAACAAAAAGCACGTGCCTACACAGTAAAACACACCGTTTTATGAGCTGGGACCTAGAAGCTGAACTCAAGACAAACAATCAATAGCTCCAGGCAGTACTAACGGAGAGGCATTACTGCCCGAGGTAGTGGGGGAGGGGCACTAAACAAATAACAGGTGAAGGAAAAAGGATTATTTCTGAGAAAATAGAGCTGATATTAGTGAGTCGGTGCTTCTAGGGCTTGCTGATAATAGAACTGCTTAGCTGTGCACACTGGCTGTTGGGGTGCCGAGCAGATCTTACCTGTAGGACGACTCACCCTGAGGCTCATTCAAAATGAAAGACCATCTAACCAAACACTGCTACTTAGTTTTTGCATATCTGACCCATGTACAGATACTAATCTTGCAAAAAATACTCAGAGGCCAACTTATCAGGACTGACATGTGTTGTGTATGTTTTTTGTCAACAATAATGAGATATTAAAATAGTCCAAAATAGTACTAAAGATCATTTTATAGTAAGACCCCTACGCCATCTGTGTGACCGCATCTTAACGTTCACCAAAGACAATTACCTTTAAAAGAGACTAAATTCAATAATAACTTTTAAAAGCCACACCTTAAAAAAACTATTGGTAAAAAAATTAAAAAGTTCAAAGTTGTCTACGCAGACTGATACAATATGAAAGTCTAGTTTTCGTCGGTTCTGACGGATAAGAAACAATACAGAACCAGCCTCTGAAATTTGAGACAAAACCTCTCCACAATGGCTCCAAGGAAAACATCATTACGTTCAGAGGGGTGGGACTAATTGAGCAGCTGCTCCTTTCAAATACACATTTTAGCCTAATATTCTTCATAAAGTGCAAGTTACAAGCCAGGGTCTGTTTTAAAGCAGCCGTTCTGCACAAGAGCAAAGGAGACAAAAACACACACACACTATTAATCCTGGGTGTAGCGAGGCCTCACTAATGAAATAGAGGCCTGCGGCACAAATCCAAATGTATGTCCATGAGTGCACATGTATACGCTTTTAGACCCCCAAGAAGACAGCAGCTGAATGCATCACAACTCTGCCTACAGGGATCGCTTCAACCTTTTATCCAACATCTGCCATGGCATCTCTCACCTGCTGAAATATGAATGTGTGCATGAACACATAAACACACGGCAAAAAAGAAAAACAAACAAAAAAACAGGGTCACCGTGTCATGACTTATATAGACAACGCAGACCCTCTCAGAACAATACACACATTCACATCCGGACTAGCAACATCAAACACAGGAGGATTCTTCAATTGAAGAAATTGTAAATGATAGTTAATGGGATTTTCTTAATCTTTTATTACATTTAAATTAAAAACTGCTGCCGCGACTCATCACAAAGAACACAGGTTCAGAGATATGTGTGGACATATAATCACTGTCCAAAGCGCTGTCTTCTTCAACATACACATGACGGCAGTTTGCACAGTTAATCAAACCAATCATTTTCATGAAAGGAGAGTAATGAATGGCTTTCAATACGGCAGCATAGGATTAGAAAATGGATATGGTTGCATACGTTGAGTTTGCATACATTGGTGTGCAGAATGAAAAGGTAACCCATGAGGCTCAGACATTCACATGGATTAAAGCGTTCACCAATACCTCTTTATGGGGTCTAAACATTTACTGTCCATTCACAACCACAGCAGAACTCACAGCTAAAACTAAACTGCAAACTGCCAGGTCAGTATCTATTTTCATTCTAAGCACGGCACATGAGTTTTGTCCTAGTTTAAATCATATAATTAAGTAAGAATCCCCCCCCCCCCCCCCCTTTTAGAAATTAACATGGGAGTACGGCTTTTTTGTGTATTATTCAAAATAAAAGCACAACTGTAATACCTGCTGATGTTAAATACCTCATAATAAATGGTTCTGCATTTTGAACTCATTACATTCCTTTTCCCAAAAGTGCGGTTTTCACTGCCCATTTGTTTTACCTCAGTAAAATTCTAAAATCTCTTGAGTTTATGATTATTAAAACGAGCCATTTTAGAACTTCAAACTTTGGCTTAAATAAATGTTGAAAAGCAATTTGAAAATACTTCTGTTTCATTCTGCTTCAGCCTCACCTAAAAACCCCACATTGCTATGCTAATAAGCACTAAAGCAGTAGGAAAAACAATGCAAATGACCAAAGAGGGGCGGCAGCGGGTTGTACAAGGTCGGCCAGCTCTTTAACTCGTCTGCGTTTATTCACCGATTTGAGATGAGCGGCTCATTAAGTCGTTCAAACCCGGCCAGAACGAAGGGTTGAAAACACAACCGCCTGTTCAGAGAAGCCCTGATTGGGAGAACATGAAGTAACCCTTTCTGCTTTAAATAGTCTGCCGCTTTTATGGCTACATTGTACAACCCACCATTCATAAAGGAGCTCACCACGTGCCAAAACCTACATGCCACCCCCCATCCCTGTGGCATGGTGAACGGGGGTCAGCTTAAACCAAGGATGAAATGTATCCAGGAAACACATCAAACACTTTCATACTTTTTAACTTAGCTCAGCATCACTTAATTTAACTACAAAACCCTGTCTCATCATCTGAGTGCAAGAAAAGATAGGTTCACTTCAAATGCCACTATTACCTGCCATTTCCGAGTAGAATTCCCAGACATAAACAGTTCTGGTACATTAAACACACCTTTTTTGTCCCCGTCAGAGAGTGACTTGCCATCTTAAAAGACTGTACTTTTGTAAATTACACAGAACAACAGCAGGTTTTGTTCCTAAGCCATCGCACAACAGAGATTTTCCCCCCATTATGATTCAAAACAGAAAACCTGCGAGAGATGTTTATTTCATATCAGAAGAGCTTTGATTTAAGAAGTCGTTTGTTTTCTGACGCTGACAGCTTTTCCACACTACAGAGCTCTGTGGACACCAGAGAACAGCTGCACCATAATGAGATTTCTTCAAACACATCAGCCGTAAATTAACTGTCATAAGATGTCCGCAACTGAAGCAAATAACACCTCACAGAAGAAACAAAACAACAATGACAAATGAGTATCATTCTCATACAGGTAGTCTTGGCGGCAAAAAAATATTTATTATTATATATTTTTCTTTCTTTGCTAAATTAGTGGATTCTTCTGGTATCATGAGTCAAAAATAAAACTCACTCTTGCACAGGATATCCAACTAAACTGAATTTATTTAAACTAGAAGCAGGAACATGTAAACAATATGGGATGTTAAAGCCCATTATCATGCACTTTAAACAGACAGCAATAAAGAAAAAAAAGATACAGATTAGCATCTATCCATTTTAACTTGAGGCATGTCTCAACAAAAGGTTTGAAGACTACTTTTAAAATGTAAATGAGTTCGAATGACGAGCTCTGCTGTGGCTAAACAGCTCAAACCTGTGTGCAAACACGCACATATGTTGTTTACACTTTTGCCTCCAGTTTGGGCAACAATGCCGGAGTCAACGGGGATGTTTTTAGAAGCAAATTCAACTCCAAAGCCGGCGTGTTTCCTTCATAATGATGCCTGTAGCCCCCGGGGGGGAACAGAGCCTAATTTTCAAGTATCTGTATTTACCAACACGCTGAGTTTCTATCTGTGTTTGGCATGCTCCGGCAGTGCGCTGCATACCAGAGATAGCGAGCAACGCCAAAACAGCAATGGTTGGTCAGAAATGGTCACACTCAAACAAGCTTAAGACACCATTTTGAAAATCCACCGATTTCTGGATAACTAATCTGAGATGCCATCTTGCCAATTATTACCAGATTAGCTACCGTTGGAATGGCGACTCGGCCTATATTCCGAAGTACTCCGAGCAGGAATCCGTAGGAGTCACATTATAGTTACGTTAGCTTAGCTTCCGAGCTAGTCTGAAAAGACAACCGCAACCCCGCCGATGCATCCTTGCATCCATCGGCACACGCTGCTCCAATCGCTAATTAGCAGGCTAGCTGGGACAAGACTAGCAAATGACAATAACAACCAACCCTGTTAGGTCAGACCGAAAACGCCTCGGGGGAAAAACGTGCAAAATTAAATGCGTGGGAACGAACGCCTTAAGTCGGAAACCTTTCGGATAAAGCGAGTATTAGTTCGATCCCGTTATTTCAGCTAGCCGCTTAGCTTAGCAAGCTAGTTCCCCCACTGTAGCCGCAACGGAGGACAATTGAAGGAATACGGGGGAGGGAAAAAAAAAAGGCAGCGAAACGAACAACTAAAAAAAAAAAAAAGTCTACACACGGACATTCCTTCCTCCCAACAATAAGCGGCGTAAATTAACTCACCAAAATCTCTCGGTCTAGCAATAAAAGATTTCCCCGTGTGCGGAGGAGCTGTGTCGCGTGCCTGTACTCGGTGTCGGGTCGGTGCGGACTGGCTCGGCTACAGCAGCGTTCTGTAGGGCCGGTGGCGCTAGGAAGACAGCTTTCACCCAGAGACGGTCACCGTGTGGGGGATGGGGATGCACTGCCAGGAGGGAGAGAGGGAGGGAGGGAGGGAGAGAGGGAGGGATGCAGGGATGCAAGGAGAGAGGAGGGGGCACGACCCATCGATAATGTAACGTGAAGGGTGGTGTTGGGGTCTAATAATAACTCAATGGGGGAAGCATAACTGTGGATTTAATGCATATGAGAAACAAAAGGGAACAAAAGAAATTCGTGAAAGGTCGGCTTTGCTAAATGTTTCCTATGAATTGGGTTAGTAGATTTGTTTCTATTAAAGGGTTAATGGAGTTACCACGGTGAGTGTAAATGGGCTCTTGTTATGGTGATGTAAACAGTGTTGACAAATTCAGATTATCTACCTTTGATGATGTTGTGCAATGTTAAACTCGTTGTTTTTTCTAATTGATTAAATACGAATGGTTATAGGTTGCATTGTTGTTGTTGCTGTTAATGTTATTGCTATTGTTGACGTTTTTTTAATAGATGTGGTGATAGCCTGCGTCAACAAAAGCTGCTATGCGTGCCATCATTTTCAGACAAGCATTGTGTTATTCGGGCCGAAGAGGCAGTGTGGTGGTGAAACGAAACTGCAGCACAGACGGAAGTTCATGTTCACTCGTCAACATTGATGCAGAGAGTTCGCCGTCTTGCCCTGCGCGTAGTCACATTTGTTCTTCTTCCCTGGAAGACAGCACCACCTACTGGTGATAAAGTGTAGTATATCTACACGCACAGCCGGACCAATGACTATGTTACATTCACAGACACCTGGAAACTCGGAATTTCTGATTTCCAAATGGGAACGATTACATTTAAAAAACGTCACAAGAAGTAAGAAGTTCTTTTTAGTTACTCCTTTTCTAGCTGAACAACAGATTGTTTCCTCTTCTTCTTTGTGTGATTTTTTAAAGCACCAGCCACAGTTTCACTGCTTAGCTTTGCAGTTTATTTTATTTATATTCCACCTTTATTTTTTAGGCATATAAGGGACTTAATAAAACACCTGAGATTACCACAGTTCAGGACAGGATATTTCAATTTTCCCCAGATGAGACAGAAAATGTAGATTCAGGGCACCCTGGAGGCTAAGGGGCCCTAGGCATTCACCTTATTCGCCTATAGCAAGAAACGGCGTAAATAATAAATATTTAAACCACTGGACACACTGCATCAATAAAAGGCTTCAAGCGTATTTGGTCTCACGGGATTTTACCAGTGAAGAACAGATCAGTGAAATGAACTACAGTTACCAATAGCCCTTGCGGCTCTGCTGTCTGTTCCAAAAACAATATGAAAAACCCTCTCGTAGGTTGGGGAGAAAAATGAGATTTTTGAAAAAACATAAATCTTGTGAAACTATGTGTATATCATAACAACAATGAACAACAAAGGAAAAAAAAAAAACTAATAACAAATAGATGTTCGAGTCCTCGCGGGACTTTACATTTCCGGAAGTCAGAGCTACATGAGATAGAACTGTCCGAGGTCCTGACACCGTGAGTTATACTTTTCTCACTCTAGACTACATATTTGCATATTTGTTATATGTTTTAACTTGACTGTAAAATAAATTTGTTGTGTGTATAAACGACTTATTTTAGCCTGAAAAACGTTGCAGTGAGCGCGTTAGAGTGAGACATTATGACGTTATGGTAGATCTGCTGAACTAAAGTAGATGTGTTTTGCTTTTTCTATTCTTGTATTTCATACAAACAGTAATACAGCAGCCTATCATCTAAAACACCAAACCTATTGATTTACTCTAACATTGCATTGCAAATTTGTATTGTCTTAGGTAGATTTTGGCAGTATGGATAGCCAACCAGACCCGACAGCCTGTGTGACCACCACCCAAAGCTCCAGCAGTTTCCAACCGAGCAATGCACCCAGTAACGATGCTCAAGAACTCAATGGGGTCCCAGAGCGGCGGACGTTGCTACGGGTGTCCGAGTCCCACGGACTGCAGCTGTTGGGTGTGCTGAAGTCTTTCAGGGAGCAAGGGTTGCTGTTTGACTTCACCGTCAATGTCCAGGAGCACAGTTTCCCCTGTCATCGCTGTGTACTTGCAGCATGCAGTGATTTCTTTAGGTGATTTCTATCTATCTATCTATCTATCTATCTATCTATCTATCTATCTATCTATCTATCTATCTATCTATCTATCTATCTATCTATCTATCTATCTATCTATCTACCTAAATGTGTAACTGCTTTGTGTTTAGGGCCATGTTTGCGGTGGACATGCGAGAGAGTGAGGATGGTATGGTGACATTGGGTAATCAGTGTCCAGTGGCAGTGGGTTCTTTCATAGATTTTGCCTACACTGGAGAGGTTCTCATCACTGAAAGCAACGTGGACATGTTGTTCCAGCTTGCCTCTTTCCTGCAGGTACAGTTGCAACCATTCCGTAACCCCTCTTTTTTTTTTCTTACAACACATAAGCCTATCCACTCGTGGGTCCGTTTATTACAGTACCATTTCACCTGGTGACAAAAGTAAATCACCGTTTGAAAATTATTTGATAATTGATGACTGACTGCTCAAACATCTGTGCTCAGGCATACAAGGATTAAATAATGCAGTAAAATAAAACCAGTCAGCTTTGGTCATACTGAATACACCAAAAATAACTTTGCTTTGCTTTCAGGTGTCTGTCCTTTCCAGGGCATGCAGTGACTTCCTAATCGGAACCATGGATCTTTCTAACTGCCTCTCCCTCTTGTCCCTGGCTGAAGCATACGGTTCAGCCTCTCTCCTTCACAGCGCCAATGACTTTGTGGTTCAAAACTTTTCTGATCTTTCCCAGACCCAGGAATTCTTGGACATGCAGGTGAGTTTGTACTTTGGTGTTGTATGCGTATGCAGAAAATCTTCAGTTCAGAGAATACTGTGAAAGCCCAATTCAGGTTAATATGGTTGTGTGGCGGATGATCACCAAAACCTTTCTACTGTCATTCTTGCTGACTGATCTGCAATAGTTTATGTATAACAAACACCATTTTTCCATGAAAATTGACAAAAAACTTAATCAGTGTGGAACCCACTATTAATTTAGTTATCCTGAAGGAGCTGTAGCTCTCTAAAATAATATTTTATTATAATTTGGACCTTGAAGTCACTTTTCTAACATTTGAGTGTGGATGCATTGTATTCTGGCTCTTTCCTTTTCCCCCTTCAGGTAAATGTCTTAGAGGCCTGCTTAAGATCAGATGCCCTGAATGTGCCCAGTGAGGAGGCAGTTGTGACGTCCCTTCTAAGATGGATTCGCAACAAACTACCAGACAGGCAGAAGCTGCTGCCTGGACTATTGTCTCTATCCAGACTGCACCACTTGCCTGCACCTGTGCTAAAGGTATGAACCCACTCAATGTGTTGCGCAGATTGCATCTTCGCCATCTGGTCATTACTTTGTTACTTGTTTTCCTGTCCTATCAGACTCTGCGCAATTCAGACTCTCTCCTCTGCAGTGACGAGTCCTGTCTTGCATTGCTGTCAGATGCCCAGAGCAGACAAGCTCAGTACTATGGCCTGCTCATGGATGCCAGGCCTGCCACAACTCAAAGCTACATCTACATTCTCAAGACAGAGGAGAATGGTGAAATCCGCCACACCTTCTGCTACTGCTTGGAAAAAGACCAGTGGAAGGAACTGGGAACCGAACGTGAAGAGAATAGAGCGTCAGTCCCAGATCTACCAGGGGCTTACCTCACCAGCTATGGAGAGAAGGTACATTGCAAGGCAGGACCACAGCATCTTAGGGAATTCCTCATCTTTGAGTTTCCTTGCTCTTATTTTGGCTAAGGACAATAATGATTATTTTGACTGTGATACACAGATGTTTTACCTGTGTTCTTGACTGCTATCATTGACTAACATCCCTGGGTCTTCATCTCATCTGAGATGTTTGTAACAGGTGGTTGCCAGGGGAACTGTTGCCGGGCAATTCGACTCCACGTGGCAGAACCCTACCATAATGCTACTGATGAGGTCTGGTGTTTCTGTCCTGTGACCCTGACCTGCACTGCTGCACCCGCTATGCTGCAGCCCAGAACCATGCATGCAGCTGTGACCTGCTTGGACAGAGTATATGTCATTGGGGGACGGACGAACGGACCCAGAGGGGAGGCTCCCAGTCTGCTGGAGGTAAGAGTTTTCTTGACTGGCACAATCTTTTATTAGCATCTCTTTTGATTAAAGAAATTAAACGCTCTCTCTCTTGTGCATTAGGTGGAGTATTATAACCCGCTGACTCAGACCTGGTGCTCTGTCAGCCCTCTGCCTGCTGCTATCTTTTACCCAGAGGCCAGTGCCTGTGGCAATGTGATCTATACACTGGGGTCGGAGGTGGAGATCACAGACTCCTTTAATCCTTCACTCGACTGCTTCTTCTGTTATGACGCCCAGCAGGACCAGTGGAGCCGCCTGGTGGCAGAGTTTGGCCAGTTTTTCCATGCTACACTTGTCAAAGCTGTGTCAATCAATAATACACTGCACCTCTGTGACCTTTCAACGTATAAGGTAGGCCATAACAGACCACATGAATAATGAAAAAATACATTTTAGACACACTATTACATGACTGTTTGAATAATTAAGACAGAGGTTGAAGTGTACCTTTTTTCAATTCAGGTTTACAGCTTTTGCCCCGAGACCTGTGTGTGGAAGGGGGAAGGGTCATTTGAATGTGCCGGTTTCAACGCTGGAGCTGTGGGCCTGAGAGACAGAATCTACATTCTGGGTGGAGACTACTCGCCTGATGAGATCACTGATGAAGTTCAGGTAATCAAAGTTCATGCTTTAAATCACTGCAAGGCTTCAGAATTTGGGAGATGTATATCCAGTTGTGCAATTGTTGTGCATTTCCATAGCATCTGTGACTTAAAAAAAACAACTCTGTAATCAGTGCAGGATTATTTAAAGTAGTGGAATACTTAGGTGACAGACTTAATCCTGTTGAGTTTTAGCCTTCTGAATTGCTCCTTGGTTGGGTAAAGGATGGAAGTGGGTGAACTTAGCAGTGATGGTACAGATGCATCTTTTCTCTACAGCCTTACATGTATTTACAGGGACATGTAATAATTTTCATACTGATTCTACAGGACCGAGCAGAAAAAAATGAGTTCTTCACCAGTTCTGAATCGATACCCAGCCAGTATATCCATACTCCACCTTCTCTATTTACTTCCTCTTACAGGTATTCCACAGTGGGAGGAGTCAGTGGGAGGAAGTGGCGCCCATGCCCAGAGCACTCACTGAGTTCCACTGTCAGCTCATCAGCTTCAATAGATACAGAGACCCATGGGGTGACCCAGAATGATACTCACAAGACACACACATCAGCAAAGCTGCAACTAAACAACTGGTGCATGCATGACTCTTCATTGGCTTTCAGAACTGTGCAGATGGTGAACGCTTATGCCTCAAGAGTGCCAATCAGTCTTTAGCTAGCACAGAGTCTCCTCTCAGAGATCACCACAAAAACACCTGGGCCAAATTATGTATTTATTTTTTTATTTCAAGTTAATATGATCCTTAAAACATTATGTGTGAAGCTCCTGGTGTCATAAGATGTTCATTGAGTCAATCATAAAAATGGCCCCTCCTATGGAGGAGCTAAATTTAGCTATTTTAGAAATCCTATTTTGGTACCAGAATTTCGTATCTATCTTTCTTTGTCTAAAAATGTCTTTGGGCAAGAAAAACCATTAAAGTAATTCACACGATCTGTAAATGTATCAGCTCGCCTACGGCTTTACAGAGTTAACCCCTTTCATGTTAATTATGTTTGAACATTTTAGTGACCTTTCTTCAATTATACTTTAGCAGCAAATGAGATATACCTCAATGGTCTTTACAGGCTTATTGACATGTAAGGCAACATATGTTAAACGGCTGTATAACAGCTTTCTTTGTTAAAATTTGGCTGTAGTTCACAAAAGCTTGACCATTTTGACTTCATATTATATCTGTAAATTGACTGAATTGGTTATTTTTCAACATTGGATTTTTTCCCAGTAATTTACTTTGTTTTCTTGTCTTAAGTCTTTTATTTCTGGCTTGCAGAGTTTCACTTATGTTGCACTCACTTAAAACAACTTGTCTTTATTCTGCTGTAACACGTGTTACAGCACGTGTCTGTGCATGTCCATGCATTCTCCCACACTGTGAAAATCGCACCTGTTAGTCATCAAAAAACATAATGCAGTTTCAAAAAGAGCAATACTTTACAAAAGACCAAGGAGAACAATGTGGGTTCTTCAATGCAAAATTGTCACTGCCTAAAAAGCTGATGTCGTGAAACAGAAACCAAGAGATGTGAGTGTTTAATGGCAAAAAGTGAAATACATAAAAAGCTTCATTATGTGTGCCAATGTTGTGGTTTTTTACAAGTGAAGTCAATGTCTGTGACTGTAATAGTTTGTGAAACCAGATGAGATTCCATGATAGTAAGATTCAGAGTATCAGACGTCACGTGGGCAATACTGTGAAACAGACCACTGTTTATACTTCTGCTTCAACAGAAACGGGCTGGATGACGATTTGAAATTTGAACAGTCAACAACCTTAAACACTGGTTGCTATCAGCTTTATGCGTTTAATTCCCTGTACCATGTAATCTTTGGGTAATTCTAGACATTTTTGGCCACAGCTCAAAAAAGCATTTTAGAATATAAACACTGATCTGAGACTAGGCTGTCCTTCAGAGAGCATCTGGCTTTAGCTGTCAAAGCCAGATGCTCTGGTCTGATACAGCACAGTATTCATATGCTACTTCGTCTCATATAAACACTGTGCTGGATCCGACCAGCAACCTCAGACTAAAAGAGTGACAAGATAAAAACGCATCTGAACAGATATTTGTCAGCCGCGTCTGACATGCTGGCCTCCAGGACTCCATCCACACAAGACTCTCTGTCCCCTCCCGATGGCTCCTGCCCATCTCCTCTTTCCCCGTGTCATCCATTAGTCCTGGTAAGTTTTCACCAGCAGCCACATCAGCAGCACGGTGATTAAGACGATCATGAAGTTGAGGAACAGCTCCTGGGTCGACCGGTCCATGGTGGATGGAGGGGGCAGATGAGACGGGGCAAAGGAATCAGCAGCTGAGAAGAGGTGGTGAAACGGAGAGGAAGGCAAGAAGGGGTTTGTGCGCAGAGGCTGTCTCCTTTTCAGGCCCCCATCCAGATATGAAAAGAGAAAATGAGAGTAAACAGGAAAAATATATTTGTTTAAACATCTTTAAGTGGCTCACATTCTCAGCTACTATGCTTCAGTCAGAACAAATGTCCTCTATCTTTTCTCCATCAGATGTTTTAATTTGAGTCACTTTAGACAGGCAAATGTAGAACTTAGTAAGACAGTGAAAACAAAACCTCATGAATACGAACTGAATGAACTGTTACCTTTCCTGTTCCTGTCTGTGTTCAGCGGGCAAATATGACAGTAGTTGATCTTGGCTTCTTTTGCTGTCTAACCTCCCATCCAGCAGCTTGTCTTCTTGCTAGAATCTTCCCTGTTGTGCCACTCCAACTCAAAAGCATCTGAACTCACTGTTGTCCAGTTTTCTGCCCTCACCAGGGGGCAGGTCCAGCTCCTAAAGTAGCCATGCTCAGTGGACCGCCCATGGCTCACATACACACAGACTGATGTCACACGCCAACTAAACAACCAATACAGTTTGTAATTTTCCACATCCTCTTCCACTGGACTGTTTCCCATCTATAACCACACAGAGTCTTCTACTAACACTACAGAGGAGTTATTTTTGCAACCTTCTTTCAGATACATGGTGGATTACTGTGTTTCGGCAATGCTTGGTAACCATGGGGAACTACACTCTCTGACAAAGAAAAAAAATAAGGGAACAGACCTGAAATTAAATATAGTTGGTAAGATGTTAGTTTGTAAAACAGCTGAAACAGCTCTGCCCTGTCATCTCTTTGCTTATGTAGGAGAAGACAAATGTCTGATCTACTGGGAAACATCAACAAAAACCACTGAGCTCCATGCTATTTTTAAAAATGACAGATATTATTTAATCTTGCTTGAAACTCCACTATAAACCTTATTGTCTTTTAATTTAGAAAGCTGGATAGATAGTAGTATGCTTCGCTTAAAAAGAACATCAAATGTAAACCTTTAAAACAGTCGAAATGTCATCCAGTTGAAGTCTTTGGATTAAAACTTCTAAAAGCATCAATTTTTAAATGTTTGCATTTCTGTAATCATAGTAAAATGATTGAGACAGACGTAACCCTACTTAGTTTTTACCTTCCATTTTTAAATATGTGCAGATGATAAATTAAGCTTACAATTAAGCTTGTTTTGACTAAAGGATGGACAGGTGCAAGAATAGAATTTACACTCAGACTTATGGGCTCAAATTCAGTGTGTCTTAAGTTTGTGACAGTACAGACTAAACATACACTCAAAAAAGTTGATATGGCTGCATATTGATACGTATGGGCAGAGTTGACTGCTTGCAAAGCTGATCTCAAGCTTTGTGACATGCTAGCTATTTAACATCTAATTCATGCTCCATTATTCAGTGTGGAATATTTCCTAGGACAATTCCTTACTCCCAGTGTGCTTGGTGAAGGAATATAACTACAACACTTGAAGGATATGCAAAACAAATTCCTAAAACTTTGGGAGCACATGAAGCGTTTGGAGCTATTCTAGGTGCGAATGTGTATACAATCCAATCCAAAAGTGATTTAACAAATACATTTTTAGAAAGTCTATTGGGCCAATTGAATTACTCCCAATTAAATTCACAGCTACCATGACCAATAACGCTGATCTTTTGTAGTTAAATATGCCAAGTTGATTGTGATGTCCTTCTGGTTGCAGTGGTGCTGGCTCTCAAAAAAGGGTTTTTAAAAGGTTAGGACAGCAAACCTCTCAGCTCAACTCACACTCGACAGCTGGTGAGTGCCATGTTATCTCTTAACTGGTGTTAAACCCCTTGAACACATGCACCTTCCTTTGCCCAGAGGGGCCAAACCGGGACAAAGTCCCATCACAACTAAATCGAACCTTTCCATGCAAGGTATCCCCAGATGATTAAACAGATCAAAACGGTTGCAATTTTACCCCACTCCCACTCCGAGAATAGTCGGCATTCAACCCAGGGATTCCCATTGTCATGGAGATTCTGCGCTGGGGTGACTGAATAATGCAGGGCAGGGCGTAGAGGCATCTCAGAATGGGTTGACCGTGATCCACCGTGGCAGCTGTGAGTCTGTTTAAGACAGGCGAGTGTTGGCAGGGTTACTCTCCAAATCAATGGAGAGACAGCGTGTGTCAACAAGGCCTCAGAGACACCATTCCGAACATTCTGGGATGCTGCGTGTTGGTGTGTAAGTGTATGCAGTGATCTATTGTTTATTGTGAGGCGGCAACTGGTGAAGGTGACAGTTTCCAGCGGTGACTATATTGGAAAAATAAATAAAAACAGTTGCCAAATGATTGCAGATCTCCCCATGAATAATAATTCTTCACAACAACCAAGAAGGAAAAATGAATCCATTACAGCACTGTTAAAAGACAAGGTGACCTAAAGTGCTTCCCGTGACACACAAAAGCATTAAAGACTGAGTTAACAGAGAGATAAAATGCATTGAATATAAGTCATCTAAAGCCAGAAGGGTTATCTGTAGATTGCTCCATAGTTGTGGTGCCAAACTGCCAGAAGCTACTTCACATTCAGTTCCATTTCCTGGGGACAGAAAGCAAGCCTGTTTATGCTAACCTAACATGTCTTAAAGGTTCATAATGTACAAAAAGTTCTGAGATGTGAACCTATTAAATCTTTATAGACTAAACAAAGTGTTTAAAAAACAAGCTTTGAACAGGAAGCCAGTGTGGAGCCTCAGCCTGGAGAGATGTGACTCACCTTTTCGGTCCTTTGTGAGCAGTTGAGCGTCATTGTTCTGATAAATCTAACTCTGTGTTGCAGGATTCACATAAACTGAAGATAAAAGCATGCATTTCTTAATAACTTCCATAATCCTTGAAATGTTATTCAGGTGAAAGTAGGCTGACATCACAAGTGATTTGACATAGCTGTTAAAGTTCAGGTTTGAGTCTGGAAAAATGTGTGGCTTTGTGGCACAAGAGTAAAATGAAGCAGACACACTAGTATGATAATATAAAAAAGGATCTAAAGCAGGGCTGAGCTTTAAAAGAGTGGATTAGCGTTTGTATCCTCAGTAGGACAGCTATTGCAGAGATATACTGTACTTGCTTTTGAATACATATGTAAACAATCACACATTCCCATAAATAACCCAGATAGGATTAGACCATGAAATAGTCTTCCTCTGTCATTTTACCAACTTCTTTAACACTTCATCCTTTTATAACTCTCACCTTAAATGCCTACATAGTAATATAATCTCACAGCGAGTCCCTGGAAAGCCATACAGAACAGCAGCACTATTTCAAAAGGCCTGTTCTTTCTGTCCATCCATCTTTGTGTTACTGTCCCACCTAATTAGAATGCAAAGTTGCAAGCAGAGGGAGTTCGGCTGTCTCTGGACCTGCATTTGAAAAAGCGATGACATCCCTCAGTCTACAAAAGTGCTTCCACTTTTGTGCTCATTTATCAGTGCTGGGCAGGTGCTTGAGGTGAAGCTGCCCTTGAACACAACAAACTAAGGGGCATATCTTCACAGAAATCCTTTTGTAGCATCATTTTTCATTCCCTTTTGCTGCAATGTTGACGCATATTTATACATTTGTGAAAAAAGAAAGCAAAACAAGAATCAGCCTGTGGATTTATTAGTGCAACAAAACGAGGAATAGATCATCAAGATATGATAGCACATTTCTGCCACTCTAAAACATTTCTTATGACAGGGAAAATATGTGTTGGGTTTTTTCTTCTATAAATATGACAAGTATACTTTGCTGATAGTTGAAAAAACTGAAAACTTAAAGCAAAAGCTTCTGCTCTTGGTGATGGTGCAGCAGATGGATTTGTGTATTGATAAATAGCATCCAGTGGTGATAAATGAGGGAAATAAGCAGACTGCTCTGAAAAAGGCCCAGTGTTGTTGTCATGTGAGGGCTCTCTCCTGCATGACCAGCTGTTGTTTTGAATACTACACATAGCTTGCTGTTAAGACACCGAAGGGGGTCCACTCCCCCGCAGCTCAGCCTGGCACAGAGATGACTGCAGACAGGTGAGAGCTCCATTGTACCCCACACTCATGTAATGAGTGCAAACATGCACTTGCACACAGGAATGACCAACATATTCTCAAGCAGAGAGACTTGTGCATGCTGGGATGCACCCTCACACCCAAAGAGGCTATGTAGTCATCAAGTGGAAAGAGTTGAATGACAGGAATAAATGAAGATAGGCATAACACCCCCAAATTCACTTCTGGGAGAGAATTACTACTTCATTAATTCAGAACCTGCCCTGATGTACTCGTTGATATTATGTGGAAAGTGATGCATAACCCGTTACATGCAAAGTTTACTATCTTCAAAAATTTGTGTCTGATGTTGCATGAACAGAGCAGCAGACATTCTTTCTGGGATACACATCTCATTATATTTCCATTTGATCCCTTAGTGTCTCAGCCAGGGCTGTAGAATGATCCACGGAGCATTTTTGTGAGTTTACGTTGAGGTATTAGGAAGGTATGCCGTTAGAAATTATATGAAGCCTTTATTAATAGAGCCAAAGGACAAAACACAGCTAGACAGTAGGTTTAGAGTTGAGAACAAGAGACAAAAACTGTGTGAGCCTGGTGCACATTTGTTTGCTTAATTGTCTCTGTGTGGCCCCATTTCATACCAATAGCCTGTTCAAGATGTAATCCAGCTTTCCTCTGCTGACAACTCAGAAAAGGTTTTTTAATTCCACCACAATCCTAAATAAGATGATACAGTATTGAATGGAGGATTATATTTATGGATGAGCAGAAGCACTAAGTTCTTTAATGCTTGTATCAGCATATGTTTGTCTTGTGATGGACAGGTCCTGGGTCTAGCCCAACAGAGGAAATATGTTTCATTCATCTGTTGGTCCTCTGTATCTTACACAAAATGTCTTGTTGCACACGTTTGTTAGTCATATTCATCTTTCACCTGGAACAAACAGCACAGCCCCACCCCAAACCTTTTTCTTGTGGTAGCTTGTATCGTAACTGGTGCGGTCCCGTCAGGAACAAAAATGTTCAGAAGGAGTTTCACCCGGACAGCTTAATGTAATGGACCATGGACCCTGCAGAGGAAAGCAACGTGAATGTGTTGAGAAAGAGTAAAGATGAGAAGAAAGTGTTTAAAAAACAGCTAAAAGCCAGTCATACCTTACTGAAACATGAAGGCATCAGAACCGCAACGCACCCCACCAAGGTGAGCACAAGACAGCTCTTTCTTCAAACAAACCAGCACGAAAAGAGCTAGCCAAAAATAAACAGACAGACAGCTGTAATAAAAATAACATGTATTTAAATATCATATTTACTTTAAGAAACCACGGAGGATATCCTATATACACCAAAGGAATTTATTTCTCTGGATGCAATGCATAAATGTTTGACATTTTAAAACGGGAAACAGGATTTATTAGTTTTTGACAAATAAGAGAATATCACACAGGCATTACTGGGGTTCATGCTGCACTTCCTGTTTAAGATCACACAATTTCATATGATGATATGACTGGTTCAGTTGCCATTCCTGTTTTTTATCTGAACGACTCTCTCACCGCTCCATGTTCGGTCTACCTTACTCACAATCTCCGCAGAGTTTGGTGGTGGCCAATGGGGGGCTGGGGAACAACGTAACCCGAGAGGAGCTTTCTGCAGCCTTGAAAGAGATGGGAGAGGTGGAAAGCCTAGTCATGCCTCCTCACAAGCCCTACGCCTTTGTCACATACAGGTACAGTTGGGGACATAAACAATACTATTGCAAGAAAAAGAAATAAGCTGCTTTGGAACCAGCTGATGACCCACAAATGAATTAGATGAATTACAGCAAAGCTTCACAGTTTAAAGGCAGCTCAGACTAAAACATTGTGAAAAATAGTCTATGTATGAAATCAGGCTTAAAAAAATCATTATTTAGAAACATTTAAACACAACATTTTACAACTTCTTTGTAATCATTTTTTATATATGACTTTGGTGTTGGCCTACCTAAAAAGTGTTCACTTAATAGTTTCCATGAGCATGCACCACAAATAAAGCCTGCATTCGCAGTCAACTTTGGTGGTTTCCCGTGGAAAACTGTTGGTTGTCTTACAAGAGAACAGCTTAATTGTTCACTTGAATAATGGCTGTGGGTAATCTTCCTCTAGCTTAGATTCAGGATGCTTATCCACGTATATATTATTCATATTAAGCGTTTTATGGGGGGGGCTTACATGGTTTCCATGGTTTGCAGAAGGACGGCTTCACAGTGATGCAATAGAACTGAAAACTTTTGCTTCAAATAGATTTGAAAAATGTTGTAGGCAAAATGGTTGAAACTTAATTTTAATATAACCTGATTTGATATTAAAAGAAACCTTATTGGTTTAGAACTCCTACTGCTGCTGCAATAATCGTTCTGTTTCCAGATGTGAAAACAGTGCTCGAAAAGCTCACACCTACCTTAATGGACACAAGCTGCACTGTGGGGAGCAGGAGGTCACATTCTATCTCAGCTATGTCGAGTCAGGTAATTTCCTTAGGTGATACAATTTACAAAATGTTTCCTTTGAAACAGCGAAACATGCATTAATGTTGACATGAAAGAAAGGGTATTGTCTGGAACAAATTCAAAGTTTTTGTAGCGAAGTACAAGGAACCTCACTTTGTCTGTTTTGTATATTTGTTACCAGTGAATTCTAAAGAGGAGACGTCTATACCTTTGCCAGAGGGTTTAGTTCTGGTGCAGGACTATGTGTCCCCTCAGGAAGAGGCTCAGCTGCTCGCTGCTGTACAGTGGTCGGCCACTAATGAGGATGTCACAGGTGACACGCGTGTCTTTTTACAGTTATTATTAGTTTTTATTAAATTTCCAATCTGGTCTCTTCTTGTGGTTTTCTGCTATTAGAAAGCATTGGTCTTTAAAACAGCGTCTAAAACCTGTGTAAGATAAGGGAAAGACAAAATAACATGTTATTAAATGTTGGCAAGGCATTTAAAACCTCTAACAAAAGGCATTTGTAAATTTGATGAAGGCATGTGACAGTACTCTCACAAAAGACGCATTAGTTGGGAACCACCCCTTTTGTCATTAACCTTCAATCATCTCTTTTAGCTCAAAAAGCTTTGAGGCACAGAAGAGTGAAACATTATGGGTTTGAATTTCGCTACGACAACAACAATGTGGATAAGGACAAGCCTCTACCAGCTGGTAAGCTCCATCCTTTTTGTCTAAACATTTGCATGCTATCAGAGTTTTACCAGTGAGGTTTGTTCACTGTTATGCATTCAATGCTTTGTTCCTAGATTGAGTTGAGTGCGTGTGTCTGTGTCCAGGTCTTCCGGAGGAGTGTTTTACTGTTCTTGAGCGGTGTTTGCAGGACGGTCACATCTGCGTCATGCCAGACCAGCTGACAGTTAACCAGTATGAGTCTGGACAAGGCTAGTCTCTTGTTTTTTTTTCTTTACATGACATTAACATGTGCACAGATCTGGTGGGACCACATGGTGTCATAACTGGACTGTGTTTGTGATCAATGAGCATTTCTGACCCTTTGAAGCTTACATTCTCTTTTTATTTTTGACACACGTTTTCATAAATATTTCCTGACATAGCACAACACACTCATGTCGACAGAAAGACATTAGAGAAGGCTCCAAAAACGAAATAGTAATCACAGTCAAAATAATTGGAAGTATTTCCGTTTTCATACACGATCCTGGCTCGTGCATTCTGACGCACGTTGATGCACGGTCACTTTAACCAATGGATCTGCTGGGTCTTTCCTCATCTGTCTCCGCTGCTGTTAAGGTGGCCAAAGGCAAAAGATAACATTATGCAAACCGTGTGAGAGAGCTAACAGATGCAGCGAAAAGAACCTGTTCCCAGGTGAAGACCCACAGCCGAAGAGGATTAGTGTCCCATAACAAAAACATTGTGCATTACTATTCCCGTTAGGTCATTTTTGGAATGGCTTACATGAAGCTAGTTGATGCGTCAAATAGATTCTCGTGATACCGTTAACTGCACTCCCACAATAAATCACAGAGCAGTTCTCTGGAATTTCTAATCCCAAATTATTAGTGGTAACCGCATGGAAATTTGCCTAATATAGCATTCTGTTTTGGCAGATCCCAAAAACATGCAAGTGGACTTTTTCCTTGTTCCCACACAGCCTCCAACAAAGTGATTGAGTGCATTTTATTTTTAGTCTGAAAAAGCACATCCGCGGCTTCCTGCCGAGTTCCCCAGCTCACGTCACATGACTTGGATCCCATTTTGTGAAAACACATTACTATTGTTAGCCTCCCGTGCCGTTACGTGGCCATGGGATTAAGTCGGGGAGGATATTCTGATAATGTGTATGACTTACATGCTGCGGGAAAGGGGAGGGGCCATGTCAAAGGTTTTCTTTTTTGAATGAGCAGTACAAAGAGCCCACTCATTTATACCACAAGGTGGTGACAGAACCTTTTCAACATTCAGTGCCACAAAAGATGAACTGCCAGGCATCCTACAGTGCCAGCACTGTTGCCTTTAAAAATCCCCCTCATCTGATATCAGTCCTCAAACATCACCAGCTGGATTAACTTTGCTGTTCTATCGTTTCAGGTATCCCCCCTCACGTGGACACCCACTCTGCCTTTGAGGACACCATCCTGTCGCTCAGCCTGGGGGCACAGGTCAGACGTCCATGCAGCGCTTGTGTTTTCTGACATCTCTGTCATCGCCATCTGTGCCGCTGCTCTCACATCGTAAATGTTGAATCAAGATAAGAGACATTCACACTTGTCATGTCCCTGAATCTATTTTTGTTTTTCTCGTCCTGCTGTTTGTCGGTTTGGGGTCTGTTGTCGGTTTGCGGAGCATGAGCGTCCGTCTGTCCTCGCTCTTCTGAAAAGCAGAGGCTGACCCTTTATGATAGCTGTCATCTGTTGTGGCAGATGACAAACAAACACACACACACAGGGTGACAGAGTGGATGCGTGATAGCTGTTCGGGTTTGAGCAGAGGGTTTCCGAAAGATGTCTTCATCCAGCAGCATGGAGACCGGAAGAGGGTTGTGGGTTTAGTCCAAATACTCATCGTAATATTTACTGATGAGATGCCACTCATCAGTTTCTGTCAATGATTACTTCAACTTTCAAAAATTCAGTGCTCAAACTGAGTCATTTTTTCCAGGGAAAAATGAAAAAAAATTTTTTTAATCTTCTCTGATTTTTTTTAGAATACTTGCAAAAAAAAGGTTTTTGGCTGCTAAGTCAAATCAGTTAATCTACGAGTGTGGATCCAGATAGGAAAACTATCCCGGACTTAATGTCTATTACATGCTAATACCGTACTGTGTGGTGTTAATGGTAAATGACAAAGTCATTGGTCCCACCTACTGGCCATTAGAAAGCAGGAACCTTTGCAGTGGTTTAATCTTTTTGATTAAATAGACATTTTTAAACAAAACCCATTCAACCAATCAAGTTAAATATCTAGCAACTACTGAAACAAGTAAACTTAATGCAGGACGCGTATTCGCATTTTGACCAGGTTATGTGGAGCGGCCCTGTCCGGGTTTTGCTTTTCAGTTTGCTTTAGCATTAATCCCTCAGGAATTCCCTCGGGGATTAATGCTAAAGATAGCAGAAGATTTAGGTTAGGTTTGGGTAACGGCCAACAAACAGCACACATCCTCTGAATGGTCTCACAAAGCCAGTCATAAAGGGTTGTGTGTGTTCGTCTATGTGTGTGCGTTTGACAAGGAGCGAGGGAAAATGATTAATAGTCTCGCGGGAAAGCGGAGCTGAAGCATCACTATCGATTTAGTCACATTCCACCGGCCTCATTGATTTGCTTATACTTGTCGGACGGGAACCGCACAATGTAGTCGTGTGTATGTGTGTGTGTGTGTGTGTGTGTGTGTGCGAGAGAAAGAGTTAGTGGGGTTGTGGTCTGCAGGAAAGATTTGATCATTAGTTGGAGCTGCAGTCTCTTTTACATTGGAACACAAACACTCAGTCACTCACCCATAGACACACACACACACATAGACACTTCACAAAATCCAATTTTCCTGCTGTCAGAAGTTGGAGAGAAGCTGTTTGAAATTGTGCGGCTGTAATTTCCCAGCTGAGCTTGTGCTGCTATGTGCTGTAAAGAAACATTAGGCTCAAACGCCAACTGTGGGCTGGAGATGCCTGTGCGGGTTAGGACGACGGCCGAGCACTCAAACTGTCTGTGGATGGCAGCCTGATGCCAGCATTTTATTTATTCTCTGGTTCTGCATATGCATCACTTGCATAGGTAAATCTTATCAAATAGAGCAGGAAGAGAGCACGGGGTGGTTTATGTGCTTTAACTATGTACTTTGTGTTCAGGGTTTTAATCTATTAACCATCTGTCGAGCTCTTCCTTTTCAGGGTTTTATTAGTGGATAGAGGTTGTAATGTTGTTTTCCAGACATCAAACATCAGACACATACAACAGATTTTTGTTTTATTACTTTGATAATACAGGGTATAACATTTTGTATGTTCATATATATGATTGAAGGAAATTGCGTTCCCCGTTTTGAGATATCTTGGTAATAACCGGCTGCTTGTCCTCACCTTCTTCCAGACTGTGATGGAGTTCCGTCACCCTGACGGCCATGTTGCTCCGGTGTTGTTGCCGGGACGGAGCCTCCTGGTGATGAAGGGAGAGAGCAGATACCTCTGGACACACGGGTGAGCTGCCCTGCTTCATAATGCTCAGTGTCAGCCTTGGGTATGTCTGAGGGGCGACATCATTCAACTTCTCTTGTCATTGTGCGTTTTGTGCAGCTTTAAGGCCTTTTTTTAACCTCTTGATATTGTTTTTTTTGCACTATGCAACATTCACATCTTGTAGTTTGAGTGTTCACAGCGATAACCACTAAAACCCTGCGGTGTGCTCCATCAGGATTACGCCTCGGAAATTTGACTTGGTACCAGCGAATGAGCAGCACGATGCTCCCCATGGCACAGCTGAGCCAGGGACCCCCAGCAGTCTCACCCTGAGCAAGAGGGGCACCCGCACCTCCTTCACCTTCCGCAAGATCAGACACGCACCCTGCCGCTGCGGTGAGAGCGCTGCCTAACTGTCATTATCCCAGTGCTGGGAGAAGAGTTATTTTTGGTAAGCGTGGAAGCAAAATAGACCTCCTCAGGGTAAAATCCTGCCTCGAATGTCTTCAACTGTATCCACACCTGTGGATCCCATATGGCACCGATCAGTTCAAAGCACCCGGGGTGTTTGAATGAGGTTATTTTTAGCTGGATTTCTTCTACCGGGGTTCCAACCAGCTGCGTTTGTGACAACTTGTACCACCCGAGTTCCACAAGAGGGGAGCATCTGTGTGTCTCTGATAATGTGCAAGTCGCAGAGTAAACTGTGAATTTGCTATGCTTCAAATCCAGCAAATAAAAGGTGCGGTCCTTGGTATTAGGGACAAATGCATTATTAGATTTTTACGTGTGTCGCCTCCTTTCTCCCTAGCATTCCCCTCTACCTGTGACAGTCAGGGCTCGTCCTCTCCCCCGTCACTTCCCAGCTGCCAGGCCGACGCGGCCCGCTTGGAGGAGGAGTACGTGCACCGGGTGTACGACGCCATCGCCTCCCACTTCAGCCGCACGCGCCACACCCCCTGGCCTCAGGTTTGCCGCTTCCTGTCCTCGCTCCCACCCGGCAGCGTGCTGGCTGACGTCGGCTGTGGAAACGGGAAGTACCTCGGTGTGAACCCGCAACTGGTCGCAGTAGGTTTCATCACAGTAAATAGAGAAACTTTAACTACCTCTGGATATAAATGTTATTTTCTTATGCAGGTGAATAAAAAAATAAGGAAGTTATTTTTAAGCAGAAACGAAGTGTGTGATTCCTCCTCATAGCCAGATAGATTAGATATCACTCACCTGAAACGTGTTTTAGAATTTCATCATAGGGAACACTACATTGACTTTTATGATTTTCTTTGGTTTTTGTTGGTTGAAAACAGACCAGCCCATCTCAAAATGTGTATTGCTGTGACCCTTTTCTCATGTCTTTTTTTCCTTTTTAAGATATCCAACCTACTGAGTAATTTGCTGTCATTTTTACCAACTCACAACATTTACTAACAAACCTAACTATAAAAAAACATTGCATGTCAAAGCTGTATTTGTCTACATTGACGGGGCTTATTTCAATTTTATATGTCTAGTTCCTGTTTAAAGCAAACTTAACCAAAGACGTTTACTGTAAAATTGACTTGAAGCAACTACAAATGAAGCAGCACAATAAGAGACAAAGCAGCCAACCCGTGTTTGGATTCAGAAATGGCATCTTTTATTGTTATTTATTCAGAAGTTTCGTTATTATGAGGCCATTTTTACAGGTCTGCCTACACCCAGGTTACAGTTTCATAGGATTCTTCAGCGATAGTGACATTGTTGTCTCAGCGTGTTGGGTGGGATGAGACATTTTACATCTGTAAGCCAGTGTGTGGCCAGGCGAAGTTAAACTATTTTCATTTTATGTAAAACAGATGTAACAGAGTTGATTGGATTGACTCAGAATGTAGCTGGAAGGAGTAATCACAGAATAATGGTTATGCAGCTCAGTTTTATTAAACTTTGTCAGATTACCTCTTTAGTTCTACTTATCAGTCTTCTTTTGTTGCTCTGTGTGCTGCTCCTCTCCCTCTCCAGTTAAACACTGTAAATACAAATTTAATTAAAATGAAACGGGTTGATCTTGTGACTGCAGTAAATCACCTCTGTCTCTTTTGGGAGGAGATCGCATGAAGCTTGATTGAATGAGCTGAAAATGAAAATCATTGGCATCCAGCAGAATCCCACCTCCTTCAGCCTCCTTTAAATTCTAATTAAATTTCTAACTTCTTTTCTGTATACTTTGCCCCCAGTTTTTTTTTTGTACAACCTTTCTATTTTTGAAGCCTCGTATCCCCTAAATTTATCCCTCCTCCACTCTGGCTGTGCCTTTTCTTGTCTCCTGCTGTTTGCTTTATGGACTGGTGCTGCTCGGCTTCAGCCTCACACTTGCTGTGTTTGTCTCATCACAGGTGGGTTGTGATCGCAGCAGTGCTCTCGTCCAAATCTGTGCAGAGAGGGGTTTCCATGCATTTGTGTCAGACGCCCTCAGCGTCCCTCTGAGAACAGCCTCCTGCGACGCCTGCATCTCCATAGCAGTCATACACCATTTTTCCACACAGGTTGGTACAAAGAATACAAGGTGACGTGTGCATTTTGGGAGGACTTAGAATGACTTGTACAGCCTTTACCACTGCCTTTGCAATTTATTTAGAGAGAGCCGAAATAGAATGTAAGCATGGAAGAGAGCTTTTAAGTGCAAAGCACAGTAATTAAACCAAAAACTAGTTGAAAAACAACATCAGGCAACAGGTCAGTGCCTTTCTTTTCTTACTTTGTCCAACTCACTGCTGTGTCGTAGGAATTCTAAGATGAGATGAAAGATGTATTTATAGATTTGCTTTCGACATGACATGACACTAGAAATATCCCTTTATTCTTTAGAATTGTGGCTAAAATAATAAAAATAGCTCTGGGTCAAATTCACAGTTTATTCTCTCAATGCCCCAAACAGTCAAATTAACTGTCCCTTCTAATCCTTTAGATTGATTTTCCTAAAAGTTACTTTTTTTTTTACATTTGTTATACATTCCTAGTCACTAATATTATTTTCTGGAGTTGTGGGTCCCTGACACCTTTGTGTGTTGCAGGCGCGTCGGCTTGCAGCCGTGAGGGAGCTTGTGAGGCTTCTGAAACCTGGAGGACAGGCACTTATCTACGTTTGGGCCTTTGAACAAGAGTACAACAAGCAGAAGTCCAAATACCTCAAAGACCAAAACAAAGAGCATCATAAAGAGTGCAGTCCTACAAAAGATTCACCAGGGAGGACCCAGGATCTCCATGGAGAACCTATTGACCACACACCTCACCATTTAGAAGACAGCTGCAACATCACCGATAATTTGCATGATGTCAGACAAACCCCTGAGGCCAAGCTTAGCGTGCACACCAATCGCACTGCTTTTAACACCCAGGACCTTTTGGTTCCCTGGCATCTGAAAGGGGGTAAAGTACAAGGGGAGAGAGAATCAGCCCGCGCATTCAGTTCCAGACCTGACCCCAGTCCAGGATTTAACTCGAGTACGCATTCTGGATCTAAACTTGATACCAGTAATGCCACACACCAAAAACTCAGTCTGAAGGGCGAAACTTCTCAAGCTTCAGGCTGTACTTCAACATCTGACTCGGAGAGCAGTTCAGTGCCTGTCTTTCATCGCTATTACCACGTGTTCCAGCAGGGGGAGCTGGAGCAGCTGTGTGGCCAGGTGGCTGGAGTCCAAGTAAAGAACAGCTATCATGACCAGGGTAACTGGTGTGTTGTATTAATGAAAGAATAACACTTAAAAAAAATTTAAATCACGCATGTGTGTATATATATATATATATATATATATATATATATATATATATATATATGAACAGAACATTTTAGGCCAATATTAAAACAATCCTACATGTATATAGTGATTGAATAAATATAAAGTTTTTATGAAAATCACTTTGTAAAACATCAGTTTGGTATTTGTTTCTTTTTGTTTTCCTTTCACTTGTTATTATAGTAAAGTCCCAACCTGTGTAGTTTTAGAGCTAAGGGGGCAGAGGTGTACAGTTAGAAGCTGTAAACCGTTATGTTGTTTTAAAAGTCTTCAGCTTTTAAAGCAACTCTCACTGTCAATCTCACTGCAGCTAAACCATATGAATGATTTTGCCAAGTTACAGGGCAAAGGTGTAAAGTAGTACTTTAGGTTAAGTGATCTACTCACATTCAAGAAGTAGAATAATTATTGTCCGTCTTCAAAAGTATCCTATCCTAAAAAGATAAAAAAGTAGCACCTTCTTCTCAATCTAAGCAATGCTAAGTATTTCTACATTAATTAAAACAGAAGCTAATTACAGGCTCTGTTTTCCTAATAAGATAAAAGAATAAACAATATTTCCATAATTTTGCAGCACTAAAAACTACAAGTCAATTACTGGCGTATACAGCGACGTTTTACGACAATTGACAGACTTTAACGACAGTGTCATGGCGACGTACGGTGTCAGTTTTGAGAGTTCGAACACCATTGAAGGAAAGAGGGAAAATAAACGACAGGCACGACAAGAAGCACTACAAAAGGTACGTACCATAATTATTGCAAACACAAACCACGTATGATAAGCTATTTCTATTGTACGAGAGTCGGTTATGGCTTAAACCCTGCTCACAATGTTCAAATGGAAGCTAATAAGCTAAAATGGCTAACAATATCACCGTACTAACGTTTGGTTTGGATGCGCTTAGTGGGTGAGGTATGTGTTCTTCAGGATTATCTCATCATGTCTGAAAACGTGTATCTTTATTCGTCTGTGGTCCTTTCAGTTTGTGTTGGAAAGCTAACAATACCCCTGTGTCTGTACACTGCTGCTGTACCCCGCGGATACTGCCAGGAAATGACTAGACAAACACTGAATGACACCGATAGCAGACCGCCAGCCGCTCTCTAAATTTGTATTGTGTCACGTTTGTTGTTACTTTCCCAGCTTAAAGATTTGAGCTTGAAATCCAGTGTTTCTGTTTTAATCGCACATGTACACAGGTTTGCATTGCAGCGTTATCTTTATGCTGTTCAGTGCAGTTTACACAGACACGTTTTACACTGAGCATCCGGTGGCTCCTGTCCATAAACATAAAGGGATGTAAATACCTTATCTCTCAGCTCACCTGTGCCCGAACCGGTCAAGGTAATGAGCATAGCATCAAGAACACTGAAGAGGAAGTGTCTCATTAAGGCTGAAGGGAGTGTTTTCATAACTTCGTTTTAAAAGATATAAACGAAACTGGATGTCAGTCAGTGTCCAAACATTAACTCTCTTTGCTCTCCTTTGGGAGGATAAAGTATGTTGCTCTGTATCCGTTTTTAGAGACGGGTTTGTGCCTAAAGGTTTGGCACCCTGTCTCTTAGTTTTAATTTAAGCCTATCATCCATATAAATAGTGCTGCTGGACCAATAATATGAGATGTTCCTTTGTTGTTCAATCATCCCTTTTCATTTCCTCACCATCATTCAGGCTAAAGAACAGTATGAGAAGGAAGAGAGGAGGAAGGAGCTGAAGCGACAGAGAGGCGAGGACACTTGGATTCTGCCTGAGGTGGACCAGAGGCTGCAGCAGATAGAGGAAGTAAGAAGAACTTAAGCCACTTGGAGTTGTTTAAGTCAATGTTTTTGGGGGAAAGACTACATATGTTGCTGTGTTTGTCTGATGAGGGAGTTTAGCTGCTCAACAGATGTGATACAATTTACTGCTAAATTAATTTTCCACTATTCAAAAATCGGTTTTAAATCAGATTCTACAGATACAATTTATTTTAATGATGCATTTGTGTCATCTTCAAATATTGTGCTTAATCCAAGCATTGATTTTCAATACATGTAAATGTTATTTTAACTGTGATGTCTGGAGTTATGCACACATCCCACTTTTTGTCTTCAAAATCCCCCAAATAAAAGGTTTTTGTCAATAATGTTTGAACCTAGGCTATAATAGGTTGAGTTGAATAGTTGCCAGATTTTTAAATAAAATTCCAATAGCATATTCAGATCTGATATGTGGAAAGGGCTTATGCTGACATTGTGCTGCTGTGTGTGACTGTACACCAGCAGGTCTATTGAATATTATGTTAATTAGCAAAAGAAAAAGGCTTCTTCGTAGTACAGGTAACTTTTTATCATCATGTGCATTTTTGATTGGATTGCATTAAAAACTAAAGACTGATTAAAACAATAAAAGGAACTAAATGTGATTATCCAACAGGATGGATCCATAAAGACCAAAAAGAAGAAAGAGAAGAAATCCAAAAAGAAAAAGGAAAAGAAGAAAAAGGCCAAAAAGGAGCAGAAGAGAACAGAAGCCCAAGATGGCTCAAGTCACAGTTCAGAGGTAATTTCACCATGTGATTCCTTAAAACGGGGCCACCAAATTGATGTAATAAAGTCCTGCTTTTCTAGATAAAACTAAAGCTTGTTCATCCACAGATTGCTTTTGTACTAGAATTAATGCTGATTCATGTTCACATTCAGTGAAATGTAAAGTTAGATTTCTTACTATCAGAAGCTCCATGGAAGTAAAGCAAAGGACAAACTTCTGCTTTTCATGGTTTTTGAGTGACCTGATCCAAATGATGTTCTGATTTGAAACATCTTCAACAATCAAGATAAAAAAAGTAAATATCTGGAAATATTTGTATTGACTGAAACTGGCATATTTTGGTCTCTTTGTAACTTATTTTGGATAATTGTGTCATCGTATCGTTTTTTTCTCCTCTTAACTGTTTCTCTGTGTGTGTCAGGATTCGGGGGAGGATTGGGTCGAGGCTGAGCCTCAGAGGCAGCCTGCTAAAGCTTGGCAAGTTACAGAAGAATCTCAGACTTCAAAGAGCAGCCTCAGCCCAGCACAGAATGTCCAGGTGACTTTCCTCACAGTTGTCCCACGTTCAAAGTTTAAATATGCGAGCAGGATTTGATGCCGCTTGGAAACCTACATCTGAAAGGGATCCAACCAAAAATCTTCCGCCGACACCACTCTAGCATGTTTTCTGTGGAAAGCAATGAAACATGATTTCTTTTGTATTTTTTTCCTTTTGGGTCAGACATCGTCCCAATATTAAAAAAATTAAAATGGTCGTTGTAGCTTAGTTTTATCTGTTGATATTCTTGCTTTTTTAAACCCTGCTTGTGTCCTGCAGAGAGATGAATGGATGACTTTTGACTTCCTGGCTATGAAAACCACCTCCATCTCAGAGAAACGGGCTGAGAAGGAACGGCAGAAAGAGGAAGAGAGAGCCAAGGCTGAGGCCATTGAACAGGTGTGCTATGTGTGCTTCTGCTGTGGTTCAAGTTAGTTTGTTTGGAACGATAACAGTCAGATGAATAAATGGAAATATGTGTGAGAGTGTTTACAGATCCCACACTAAAAGCAGTAACAGGAGAGATTACTTAACTCATCGTTGTTTGTGTAATTGTGCATGTTGTTGGCTATGTGGTTTTCTCAGGCTGGTTTGCACAAACTTGAGCTAAACCCTTACTGGAAAGACGGAGGGACTGGTTTGCCCCCGGAGGAGACTGCCAGCACTACAGCGACAAAAAAAGGTAGCAGCGAACACAATTGAGGCATCTCAGCTTTAAGAAAGTGGACCAGTTTGAAACCATTTAAAATGTCTTTGTTTCATGTTATATTTCAGTTTAATAAAATTGCAAAGGTCTAAAGCAGGAAAAACTAAACCAAAATTTTCTCCTCCTCTCGTTAACTTCCTCTGTTTATCTGCTGGAGATGAATGTATAAGGTGCACAGAGCTGCATAATGTTTAATTGTTCTTAAAATGCTCAGATTTGTACCTTTGTTTTACCTGCGCATTAATCTGTGATTTACCTGCAATGCTGTTTTTAAAAGATTAGTAAAAATGATTTTTCTGTCGATAGATGTATCTGTGAGGTCTTACAGAAAAGATAACGGTGACCCTTACAGTTCCACATTTGTGTAAACGTCTACTTTTATATTTGCATCAAAATTAACTTGAGCTTATGAGTGAGCAGTGAGAGGAGGAATAGAGCTTGGAGCTTTTGGTTTGGTTCAGAAAAATAAGAGGAGGGATGAGAGTGAGCTGTTCTGGCCTGTCAGAGCGGTGCAGGTATGTGTGTCTTATCTCTGCACAGAAGGTACTGTCCCCTTTAGACAGAGTCACGGCCTCTCTGCTGACAGCTTTATCCTGACAGCACCGCAAATAACAGAAGCTGAAGCAAACATTGCACACAAACACTTTGTGTGCTCAACCTGCACCAGATGAGGATGTCGTTCCAAAAGACTTGTGTTCTATATGTCAGGCCGTAGAAGGTGATCAGAACATGGGACAGCCTTGTTTTTCTTAGAATAGCTTAGTTATTGAGAGATACATTAGTGCAACTATCTGCTGTAGATTTTTATTTATTTTCTAATTAACAGAGAAGTGGATTATGTATCTAAACCCAGCAAAAGAAGCAAGTGTTGCTACAATATCTAGACAAAGTTCCATGTGCCCCCTTTACCCCTCAGCCTGTCAGGCAGCATTTCTTTTCTTTTAACGATAAAAGTGGCCCCCTGTCATCTCTCCCAGGTTCAAGTAAATTGTGCAGGTAAAAATAGGCTCAAACACTAGAAAACTTGTCCAACAGAATTTTCTTTCCCTTCCCACTTCTTTTACCACCTGCTTTCCAGATAAAAAAGCTGCAGTTGATTGTTTATTGGCTGGTTTTCAGGGCCAAAGAAATAAATTGCTCAGTACTGACCATGACCACAGACATTTAGTCCTCTTTTCCCAGCCCTTTTGTTGTGTTTTATCGCTCTGGGAAGTTGTATCAGCTCTAGTCCCGTGGACTTGATGATAAACTGGATTTATCTGACCTTGTTTTTTTTCCCCCATCTCTCTTACACTGCTTTACTCTAACTATCCCTTGGATCTGCCTTACTTACATAGAGCTACTTGACACCAGCATTTGAACAGGCTTTTTTCATTTGTTTTTTTTCTTTGTTTTAAAAAGATGGTTTTAATGTATTTTTAGCTTCTCACACAAACATTAAGTTTAATCCTCTCCTAGTTTATCTATGTCTTACTTGATTTACAGTCTATGCAACATTCCAGTAATGTGACCATCATTTTAAAATGTCAAGATTTTGAGGCCATTTGATTTCCAAGATTACATCTCAACTATTTTGATTAAAACAAAACAAATACAAAAAAAAACACTCAAAGTGGAGCTGATGTTTGTTGTAATGTCACTACTAAAAAGGTTTGTATTAAGCCTCACTGGAATGTGATTTAGATTTAAAAACATCCAGTGGTTTAGTGGCATAAGCCATCTCACATACATGTATTCTTGTTATTTTAATTGGTCCAGGAGGCCCAGTGGTGAACGATGGTGGTCTGAGCTGGCTGAGGAAGAGCTATCAGAGGATGAAGGAGCAGGCAGAGCGGGAACACCGTAACCTCAGTGATGTGGTGGCTGAGAGATATGGGGTGAGACTTTCTACCCACACACACTCCCATGCACACTGTATTGGTCACTTACTGTACAGTACATGTGGGGAAAAAACACTTCACAGAAGAAGCCATTGCATATATTTAAAATGTTGTCAAAAAGGTCATTTCAACTCTTAACTATTATGAAGGGAAGCAATATAGTTGGATGAAAAAGACTTCTTGAACACACACATACTGGGAGGAATGAATGGCTAAAAACAGGCAGATTAGCAGGTTGCTTAGCTCACTTGAACTTTCTGAAAAACTCAAGAAAATGCTCCAAGCCTTTTTTATGATTTGTGTTTCTGATTTTAACAGTCAATGGAGGACTTTCAGAAGCGACTGGCTGATGCTGAGGAGGCTGCGTGTGGCGAGAGGAGAGAAGACAGAGCAGGCTCAGCCAGGGATGGGTGGAGGGGGCAGGAGGCCAGGGAGAGGTGGAGGAGAAGAGACGAAGACCGGGGAGATCTAGATCGCTGGAGAAAAAGTGAAAGGGATTCATCACCTCGAGACAGGGAGAGATACCAAAGCCGAAGAGAAGAAAACATGGAGAGATATGCAGGAAGAGAAGAGGAGAAAGGTCGAGACAGAGGAAGGTATAGAGAAAAAGAGAGGTGCAGGAATAGGGAAGAGGAAAGAGAAAATGACCGAAAAAGAGACAGAGATAATGAGAGAGATGGAGAGAAGGACAGAGACAGAGGGAAAGATAAGTATAGGGATGAAGATGTGGAAAAAGATAAATCCAGTGCATCATCATCATCATCATCTTCATCTTCACTGTCCCTAAAAGGCCGTTTCCTCAAACCCTCAGAGGATGATGGCATTGGTAAAGTTTGTTTAATCTCCATGCTATTTCTTAAAATATCTGAGTTTTATTATGTTTCTTTTGTTGGTTTTTATGGATAGGCGGTCATAAATCTCTTCAGTTTTTATGACAAATGAGGGGAACAAATATTTCGTGAAATTTCAAACACCAAGAATCTTGGCATTTGCAAAGAATTTGCCTTATACCCTTGTGCCTGTGCAGCAGCTCCACGTCCGCCCCTGCGTCCATCCACAGGGTTCATAAAACCCAGCTCCGATGATGAGGACTCCACTCCCAAACACAGGAGTGTTGCAGCCTGGAGGAAAAGCAGCGGCTCTGCTCATCAGCCCCACACCTTCGAAAAGCAGCGGCAGGAAAACAAGGAGGAGTCAGAGAAAACTGAAACGAATCCTCAGGCTTCTGTCTCAACTAGGTCAGAGGTTTTTGCATTTTTGATGCTATGAAAACAAGATTCTCTCTGATTACACATTATACTGAGGGGAGAACCCCAGATATAAACATGAGTGACACGGCAAACAGCGTTATGGTTAAAAAATGGGAATGTTTGTTGCCCTCTCTCTTTTCTGGACTCTCTGTTGTTTTATCTACATTGCTCTGCTATCTGTCACACTGCCTCAATGTTTTTCAGTAATTACAAACCATTAGTTCCACACTACCTGCCATGATTTCACTACTGTCATTTGGCACATGAAGTCACCACTGTCCAAGAAAATTGAAGGATGATTTTCCTCTTGCCTGTTTCCAGAACCTATAATCAGTCCTCCTAATTGCCTTAAACTGGCTGTTAGGGGTTGATCTTCCTGTTGGATGTCAAGCAGATTCTCCTCTTTTAGCCTGGTGAACTTAGCCTATTTTTAGATATATTTTAATCCTAAATCATCATTGGTGTAACCCTAAGATCACTGAACTGTAGAATAAAGTGGTAAATATATATATTTTTGCAGTGAACTGCATCATAACCTCAACAAATTATTTTGGCCTTCTGTAAAAACTAATGAAAAAGAAACAGCATACGCGAACAGGAAAACAGCATAGTTTCTCAACAAGTTTCCAGGTTTTCATACTTTACTGCTCTGTGTTGTAGAGCAGATGTCAGCACATCATTGCCTTCCAAAGCCTTCCGTGTTTTGCTTCATTAGGCTAAGTTGTTTGGGTAAACTGGCAGTCAGAGCCCCTGCAGCATGAAATGAGTGTGGTAGCAGAAGGAAATGATGCTATGAGAGGTGTAATAGCCTAGAACGTCGCTGCTGTTCTGATCTTCCCAGGCGAGGCTGTAATGATCGCTGGGAGGGCACACAGACCCAAATGAATCACAACAGATAAATGCTGTGAGAAGGCTCAGGAGCTAACAGCTAAATAGTTCAATTTGAAACTTCAGAAGTTTTTCATTAGAAAAAATTGACTTGCTGAAAACTTTTGTTTCAGGTGATACACTGGGCATTGGTCATACGATCTTTTTGTGCAGGTTAAAGCTTCAAATTTGAATTGATGTTCCATTTACAGTGTTCGCTGTCTACAGTTCCCAAAAATCTCATCTTTTCTCAGGACTGAGAGTGAAAGCGAGGAAGATGAGGAGGAAGAAGAGGAGATTCCTTTGCTGTCAGAGGAAGAGATGAACAAACTGGGATCTAAGCTGATAAAGGCAGAGATAATGGGCAATACTGTGAGTGGATTTATCTTGTTTTTTAGTACTGTGGATATGTTTGGCTGAGTTCAAAAGATTAATCTTTTGGCTTTTGATATCGAGCACTCTGGCTATTGATGAGGATGAATTTTGTCTGGATCTGGAAATTTTTCAAAATTTTTATAATTGATTAGCGAGGTCTTCTTTTGGTAAACTGCTTATATTTGACAATGTTTTAAAATGGTTTAGGGTGACTGACATGCAAACTTTTCTCTCACACGATGCTTTTAGTTTTTCCTATCAAATAGCACCCATATTGGTGGTTTTATTTGTTTAAAGGGGTGTCCATCATTATTAACATTTTCATGAATGTCTGGAAGCAAATTCCAAGAGATGATTAATGTTGTTCATTTTGCGTGTTAAATATTTATGTTTGTAGCTGACTTACATTTAGAGCACATGAAGTTATCCATTCACTTAAAGCATTCTTTGAGCTGTAAACTCATCCTCTCCCCTCTCTGGCTTTAAGGAGGAGGTTTCAGGTCTGTTTGTTACAGCAGTAACACACATACATTCTCTCTGCGTTAAACTTAACTTTTAGCATCTCCCAACATGGTAAAGCAATCAAAGTAATAGTCCCAGACCTCTTTATGTGCATGTTGCGTTCCTGTGAGGCAGAAATGCATTTAACAGCTATGCACTTGGCTTTTATGCCCTGTGTGTAAGGACATAGATGTCTTCCATGACACTGTGGCTTAAGTGGTTTACATGTATGTGTGGCTGGGAAGTCTCTCTTTCTTACCATCCCTTAATAAGTGCTGCTTTTTCATAAGCACAGAATTCGTGTTTTGTTTTTTGTTTTAAAAGAAATTATACACAATAGGAAATCATATGTTTCAGATGCATTTATGCATGTGTTTTATTTACATTTTAATTTTTTCTGTCAGGCCATGGTCGAGAAGCTAAAATCCCAACTGGCAGCTGCTCACAAAGCCAAAGAGAACCATGCTGCCAGAAAGAAGCAACATGAAGCGGCAAAGTCAGACCAGGTTTGTAGATGCCTTTTCTGAGCCTTGCTGTCTCATTCTCTTTCATAGGAATTCTCTTTGTTTTAGGGTATATGATTTGAAAAGGGAAAAGTGGAAGCAGTGGATGCAAAAATTTTATGGTTGCTCTGAGGTACAAAAGGCAACCACATTTTATAAAAGGTGACCCCAAAAAGAGAACACAGAACCACAGTTGAGATCAAACTTTTTACAGCAGGCAGAAAAAGTGATTGAAAGAGTGACTGACTCTTCTGTTCTTTCAGTAGTTCAAAATTCAGGTAATGAAATCATCCTGTGTCGACAGTTCAGTCACAAGCGGGATCTGTAGTTGTCTGTAAAAATGGTTGTTTTTTTGTAAATGGTGGTTGCTTTTTGATGGTTTTAAAAAGATGAAAGGGACACATTTCCTCTGATTTATTTAGATCTTTTTCTGTTCATTCTAAATATATGCTTTTCCTAAGAGCCTTTGTCCCTCTGCTGATAGCTACACATACCTGCTCCTTCCTGCCAGACTTGCTATTTATCGCCAACAAAGAAAGACAAGATTAACAAAAAACACCCTTCAGATTTCACGTGTCCAACCAAATCAGGCCTCAGGTTACAGTTTAAAAACTTAATTCTCCGTCGTTCCTAAAATCCACCAGCTTTCAAATATGGGGTTACTGTCGTACCCATAAGGCTCACCATGGAGTTGTCTGTCTGACTGACTCTCATTGGCATGTGAAGTCATTTTCCTGGTCGGCTCTTTCAACTGTCTGTTCCTCTTCAGCAGACCCTTGAATTAAAGAAAAGTGTCATTCTGTGTATTATCACTCTCCTAATATATATCAGGCAGTTTTGAAGAGAGGTCGGAAGCCCTGACAGGGGCCTGACACACATGTTGATAAATGTCAGCATATCTCATCATACATAAACTCATCGACACCAGTCTTTAAAAAAAATATATATATATTCAATTCCTCTTAAGGAAACTTCAGGGAAAGTAGAATAATTCTTGCATTTTAGGGCACTCTCAGATGAGAGCTACTTGAAGAGCATTGAGTTCTTTTGGTTTGCAATTATTTGAGATCCCATCTGTTCGTCTTGAAATGGAATACGGTCAGCTCGACTTCACTATTGAGTGCTTTGATTCTTGTCTCTGGGTTGGCTCTCGAAAGGCCGATCTTTGTCAACTGGAAATAAGGAAATATTTTTCTGACTCTGCACCTTCATTTTATCATCCGATGCTCGTGCTTTGCTCGTTTTTTAAGAATGTGTTTCTTTTTTTGTCTGTCCGCCTCCTCTTATCAGGCTGAACTTTTGTAGGTTGTGTAATTATGACTGCTACATGAGGCTATATAATTAAAAGTGATTTACGCCTCTCATCCAGGTTCAGAAATGTCTGAATGATGACCAGGTTTATTAAGATAAAAGGACTTTATGTTTCTTGTATAAATTACCTATAGACTATATTTTCCAAAAGAGCAGACTTTTAGATCTTTGAATAACCTGGATCAAGCTTTTATGCTAAATTTGCTCCACTTTGATAAACATATGAGCTTCTGGGCAGGAAGCGGATGTTTTTATCATCTTAGATGTAACGAAGGCTCGCCGTTTAAAACATCTACTGTTTCTCAGTCTGAATCAAAACAAAAGACTCATCACAAAACCTTGATTTCAGCCTCTTCAGGACTGCTTTTAGTTTTAAATACAAGATGAGAGCTTTTCATAATTTGGTAATGCACATTATTCAGCTGTAGTCCTGATTATTAGTGAAACACGTTCTAAGATGTTTTTCCAGATAGTATTATAAACCAAACATTAGTATGGGACAAAATGCATGTTTATTATCAGAGTTAGGGGTCCATTTAAGGGGAAAGAAAACAAGACACAACTTTTTGACTTGTGTCTGTCAGAAAAGCTTTTAATACTTCCAACAAATAGTCATTTTTCTCAATTTTAAAACCCTGAAATAGTTGTGTCGAGGTCTTGTGCATCTCACTGGTTGGTTGTTCCATGCTATGGTTTTGCTCCCACAAAGGAGGAATAACCTGGAGGGCTTTGACTTTTCCAGGTTGCAGGTCGTTCCAGAGAAGACGAGGAGCTTCTGCTATTCCGAACAGACGAGTCAGGTCGGGCTTGGCCAGTCAAAGGCCCCTCAGGACCTCAGGAACCCCATGGAGGACGAAGGAAAAAGAAAAAGGTAAAAGGAGAGGGATGAAAAGTGGTAGATGAGTGTGAAAAGAAACGAATGGGCAGCTAGATGGAAACTGCTCAGAATGCACCCAGACAGAAAACCATGGAGGTATTAGAAACATGGATATTCACTGAGGTTTATGTTCTGCTATTTATTTGTCATTTGGTATTCATCAGACTAATCATGAGCGACTAAAACTGCCTTTGAAATGAAGTGTGTAAAGTAAACAAAGCTATTCAGTCCATTTGCCGTTTCTAGGTTTTATTAATTTATTATGAAGCCTCTTTACAGTCTGTGCACTCTGCTTCCCTCATAATCTGCTTTCTCTGACTTCTTCATTCCTCATTCTGTATTTCTTTTTCCTTTACCTTTATGTCATTTCTTTCCTACTAATTATGTAATTGATTTAGACTCTTTTGTGGCCTCTTCTTTCAGATTGAGACTCATGTTGATGGGGAGCGTGTCCGTTACTTCCAAGATGATGACAACGTTGGTCTGCAGGAGATGGTGAGGAGGGAGAAGATGAGCTCTGCACAGGATCAGAACGCCCTCTACTCTCGTATGGCTGCCAAGGTACGGCCAAAAGTACTAATAGAATGTTTACACTTCTGGACGGTGTCTTTTTTTTATGAGGCAAGTCTCTTTTAACATCTGGTCATTTATCTTTTATTTATTTCATTGCAACTTTGATTGCAAGAAAAAAGAAAGTATTGTCTAAAGACATGATGGAGATTTTCCAAGTGCGGCTGAAACTCACCATTATTCATTAATACTGCAGCAGGAGGTGGTGTGTTTTCAACAAAAAACAATCATTGAAGTGTGAACCACGGTCAGGCTGTTATGGGTCAGGGACGAGCGTATAATCCTTCATGCCTCTGCAGGAATTTCACTCCCCTTTTACTCTGATCTCACCAAGAAACTTATTGTTGTAGAGGGATGTTTTTAGTTGCTTGCAGTCTGTAACTTGGGTTTCTAGATTTCTGTTTTCCTTACACTGGCCCTGCAGTCCATTCCAAAAATTGAAAATAAATTCTATAACGAATCGTTTGCCATTATTAATTGAAGCAGAATTATGATGGCCAGGTATTTTTTGGATTATTTCTTTCCTTTGGAAAAATGAAAACAGAAAAACAAAGTGCCTATGGGTAACCGAAGGCAGATTAAATCAACTGTTACTGAGTGTTTGCTGTAAACCAGTGGGGACATTCTACACATAGACTCGCAATGATCATTCCTATATCCCATATTAAAAATGCATCACCTCTGCTGTGATATCAGTGTCGGTAGACAAAGATTCTGCTCAGCTGCTCTATGGTCTGGTGATTTATGTGGATTACGTCAACTAATTCTGTCCAGACAAACGTATAGGATTTGTTCTGTTGCATTGGTATTTGGTTTGATAAAAATCAGTTTTTTTCTACCTCTGCTTGTACATGTACAAATCTGTGACTGCCTTATCCAGTGTCTGCCTGAAATAGGCGTCCTGCAGCAGACTGGCAGCGGTAGGTTGTTGTGTGTCTGTCAGTCTATCAACAATTTTAACAGCCTGCACTTTTCCTTCAGCCAAGACATGTATTTGTTGCTCTTTTTTCCCCTATTTTCCTGTTTAATTTTTCCTCCACGAAGGTTGGGATGATAAAAACTGGTGTGAAAATCCTCCCAACAAGGACATATGAGAAAGGGAGAGGGAAAAAAAAAGGGAATCTTTATTAAACAGAAGGACAGAGGAGTTGCCATGGCAATAAAAGACGTACCTAATTTCTGTCCATGTTTTCCTTTCCTGACTTTCTCTGCCCTCACTCACACGTGGCACACTTGCTCACCCCCTCTCATGTATTCACTACACATGCATGCGTACAAAGACACACACACTACTGCTCTGCACTTACAGAGAGTGACACTAAAAATATATCTACAGTTACCATGGCAGGGCTTCTATAAATATCCTTCCTAATCACAGCTATAGATTGATGATCTTAGAGAAAGGAATCTGTGTTTACTTAGCATCACAGAGCACTCTTTAGCCTGTCCTCCCAGTCTCATCTACATCTTCTATAATTATCAGTCTAATTCTTTTATCCCTTTGGCCATCTTTTTCTACGTGTGATTAATCATCAGTGTTGAACTTCTTCCCTCTACCTCCCTTGCCTCTTTATCAAGTATCTTTTCCATTTGATCAGTGATTATTCAAACTTTTTCTTTTTTCAAATGAGAATGGGAAACATCTGTTCTTAGTGGGACCTCAAAAGTGCAAAAATCTGCTCCATTTGTACATTTTGGATGTCTTTGAAATTTCTACAGTATGGCTTCAAGCTGTCCAATTGTCTGTGTACCTTCTCAGCTTAATGCTTGGACCAGACAAAGATATAATTTTCTAAACTGTTGATCAGCTGCAGACCATTGTGGTTTAAACCCTCTGCAATATTTTGTGTTGTTTGAAATAATAAAGTTAGGGGTTGTGATTCTTACTTAACAAATTTGTTTTGATAAATATATCAACATTTAGTTTACAGATTTGATCCAATAATCTATTTTCATTCATCATGACTGGGCAAATTCAAATAGATTAATCTGTGTTTTATTGATTGACTTTATGTGGTTATAACTCCTTGGTTCAGTTAATATTAATTGTTTATTTAGTGTTCCTTGTTCCCTCCCCAAAAGCTTTCCTCCCATGTTTCCCTCAGTCTATTTTTATGACTGTGTGCTCGACAGCTGTGACCAGAGGCTTTTTGGTCTCAGTTTGTCCCTCTGTCTGTCTGCTACACTCTCATGAACTCCAAACCCCTGGGATGTCTTGAAGGGATTTCTTCAACTATAACACAAATGTCCAGTTGGGTTTGAAGTGAACTCATTTGGTCCTTTTGACCTCACAAACCACATATTTGGGTAAATCTCAAGAATGCACTTATACTTGTGGATATTTTAAACAAATGTCTTATAAACCAGGAAGAATCCAGACTTATTTAGTTCCAAGTGTTATTGATGTCCAGCTTTGTTGGCCAAATATGAATACACCTGATATCTCCTATTGAACTCATTCCACTGGTTTCCTCTGGGGTCCTGACTAATCCAATAGTGGTGGTAATTCTAGAGGGCGGCATTGTCCTGCTGGGGGAAGCCTCCGCTGTCGAGGAGTAATGTTGCCATGGGGAGGATGTACTGGTCTTTGGCAATGTTTTCGTGCGTGCTGTGTGTCGGGACTGTCAAGACCCTTGCTTTCAGGGCAAAATGTGTTGCATTCTGAAAAGATTGTGGAGGTTATCTTGCTCTCATGTCATTGGTTGTCATATTGTGTCTTTGTGATGGATCAATACATAGTTGCTCTTCCATGCTTCCCTTAAACAGGGAAGCATGGAAGAGAGATTTGTGTTGTTTACTGTTGCCACCTTTTTGTTATTTTTTTGTCACACCTTCCCATGTTTTTTCCTGCTTCATCCCCAGTCTTGTGTACTTTATCTTTTCAAGTGACTCCACTGACTTTACCATTTGCCAGCAGTCCCCCTCTCATTTCTATCTCTCCCTTAAGTGTGTACATTTTTCATCACAAGTCAGCCTTTTCAGTTGAAATGCTCTTTCCCCTGTGCAATGGGAGGAAAGGAAAAATGTGACAGTAACATTTGTTGCTTTCAGCATAACCTCAGGTGGCTCAAAACATTGACCCATTTTAGTGTCTGAGAAATGGGTTTTTATCCATCTGGAGGGAATTCACCTGTAAAAGGTGTATACTCACAATGTGTTTCCTTTACAAAGCTGCACTTTCTTTCACATGTTTAAAAACAAGTCTTGAAAAGCCTACCTCTTCCACTCTACAGCCCACTGTTGAATTTACGAGTTAAAATCTTAAATTCAAGAGTCCATCCTTTTTTCATTGGCACCAATGAACACACTGAAACAATGAAAGCTAACAAATACTGCCTCATTAGACTTTAATCATAAGAGTGTGTGTGAATTGTAGAAAACAAAGCTGCCTCATTCTGGTCAAATGTGGCATGTGAAACTGCACAGTTTTTTTTGCAGTCTACATCCACACACACACACACACACACACACACACACACACACACATTCCCTCCCACGCTGTCACTAAATTAATCCAATTTTCACTCACAGTCGCACACTCACTCCTACACAGCGAGTCATGCACACACACTTCAGCACTACACCCCTCCGCCCCACCGCACTCACTTACATACACACTGATTTCAACCTGTTGCCCAGTCGCCATGGTGACAAGATATGCCATAGTGATACTCTGCTGCCTGCTTCGACACTTCAGCACTCTGAGACAGATTGACAAACAGGGCAGTGCCGGCACACACACACACACACTATTAATGTTAATTAAGTGCAACATTTTGTTTTGTCTGCACACCTAAATCAGATCTAATGGTTACATAAATCTAAAGTTATCTTTTGGTTACATGGATTATTTTTCTAAAGAAAACACAGAAGGTCTGAGAGTGAATGAAAACTCTTCTGTCACAGTCTCATGACTTCTCTTCTTCTCTTGTCTCTTTTTTACTCTTCAGATGATGGGAAAAACGGATGGTGATAACTACACGCTAGATGACATGTTTGTGTCAAGTGCAGCACAGCGGGAGGGTGAGGGGAGGGAGGAGGAAAGGATGAGGAACAGGGCCATCGGGGAGAGCAGGAGACTGGCTCTTTCAATGGATAAATGCCGCTACTGTTTCAGCAGCCAAGAGCTCCAGAAGCATCTTATTGTGGCCATAGGGAGCAAGGTAAGGGATGATCAATGATACTGTGCAGTAAAGTTGTTTATTTAGAGCTGTAATGGAAACCATTCTTCGGTTCACAATAATGAGGGAGAAATGGATCCGCTGGAAGGATGGATGTTAAAGCAATTAACATTTGCTTTGTTTTGACCCATAAAATGCTTAAGGATTAATGGAGATTTTGTTTTGCCATGCTAAAAAGATGTCCAAAACGCAAATATATCATTGTATATAGTTATAAAATGTATCATTTGTTGCCTGAGCAGTGTGAAAACAGTAGCACTCTGCTGAACGGTAAACATGGTGATGGTAGAAGATGTTAGCAATTTGTTGACAGTGGTATTATAGATGCTAAGTATGCCCCCAAAACCAAAGATGTCTCTACAGTTCCAAGCATATCACTCTTTCTGCCAATTTGAGCAATCAGTGATGAAAAATATGGAAACATGAAAACGAGCCCTTCCACATCCCCTAACAGTCACACCCTGCAGCTTGGGAATGCGTAACATTAAGTGAATGCGTACATATTTCAAGCAAATAAATGAGCTAATAAGGAACTAATGATTTGGAGTGTTTTTAATCCATCCGCAGGTATACCTGAGTGTGCCCTCAGGAGTGTCCATGACCGAGGGCCACTGTCTCATCTGCCCCCTTCAGCATCACTGCTCTGGCACTGGAATGGATGAGGACGTCTGGTCCGAAATACAGGTGAGCCACTAAGAGCTCCAGATCCTGCCAGTCCACGCCACATTAGCAGCTTTTTTCTGAGATGGTTACATTTGAGCACACTTGTTTTTCTGTCCTCAGCTGTTTCGACGCACCTTAGTGCGAATGTTTGAGTCCCAGGACCTGGATTGTGTCTTCATGGAAACGCACATGAATCTACGCCGAAGGCAACACATGGTCCTAGAGTGCATACCACTTCCAAGAGAACTGGGTGACATGGCACCCATATACTTTAAAGTTTGTATTTCTTATATTTAGTCATTATGATTTTGTCAAAATATATCTATGAAGCTAAATTATTTGGATAGGTTTGAGTTTAAAACGTGAGATTAAATGTTTGAAACGTTTCGTGGTCTTCCAGAAAGCCATCATGGAGTGTGACGAGGAGTGGGCTATGAACAAAAAGGTCGTTGACCTTTCAAAGAAAGACATCCGGCAAGCTGTATGTTTTCCTCATAATCATCCTTACCTTGATTTCTTCTTTTTTATTTGATTTTTCTAACTTCCTCCTTTGCCACATTTTCTGTTTTTTCTCATCCTAGGTTCCTCGAGGCCTGCCGTACTTTGCTGTTGATTTTGGTTTGCAGGGCGGGTTTGCTCATGTCATTGAAAATGAACAGAAGTTTCCACATTACTTTGGCAAGGTACGTAATTGTTCAATGGTCAGAAATGTACTGTTAACATTGGTCTGATTATCAAGCACATGGACATGTTTTGGTGTTTGATTGAATACATTTTTAAAATGTGCATGATTGCCAGAAATTCCTGAAACGACAGAAGAAGAAATGGTGATTTCTGATGTAAACAAATGCAGCTGTTTCCTTAAATCATTCAAAGACTTGAATGAGAGTCTTTGTGCCTGTAGCCGACTCGTTCAATAATTTTAAGTTCTTTTAAGATTTCTTGCAGTACATTGGTATCGGATACCGGCCAGTTTGTTTTGGTCCAACAAATTTTTCCGCTTGCTGTAACTTGCAGAGCACAATTGCGTTGCCTAAAAAAAACAAGCATCCGCAGTAAGAATAATTTCTGCCCGAATTTAATACAAAACAGTTCAAACAGTTTTCCTTTCTTTGAAAGCAACATGAACTTATAAAAGCTATGTTATGGCCACCAGACAACCATCTAAAAAATCATTTTACAGCTAAAGCTAAATGACCCACCCCTCATCCCCTCACAGGAAGTGGTTGGAGGTATGATGGACTTGGAGCCGCGGCGCTGGAGGAAGCCCATACGAGAAAATTTTGATGACCAGAGGAAAAAAGTCCTGCAGTTTGCACAATGGTGGAAACCACACGATTGTACCAAGACTGAAAGCTGAACACAAACTCGAACATCTCGTTTTGGCCTTTGTTGAAAAGAGGAGCCCATACACGAGCCATGCTGAGTTTCCTCTGCGCAAAGACGGCGTAGACTTTGTTTGACCTACATGTTATAATTTCAATGAGCAGTTTCCTGTAGAAGTATAATCACACCATTTTTAAAAAAAGCGTCCAGAATAAATCTGATTATTTTGATGTTCGTTTGTTTTTGTTGTTGTTGTTGAATTGATTTAATCTGAAATACGTAAACCAGGTAGGTATATCTTTTAAACCAAAGTATTTGTCTCTAGCCACAATTTTTCAAGTCTATATCCTAATACTTGCTTCCCCGCTCAGCCTTGAAATTTAACTTCGTGCTCCGTAACCTAATGATCCTTTGCTACTATCATGTTTTTCTTTAAAAAAATAAAATAAAAAAAATGTTGTAATGCCAGTACAGACATAGGCAAGTTAATAGAAAAGAACACGCCACAACATCTCATTCCTCAGACTTTGTCTCGAGCAATCTGCACCACTGCCCTGGCGTGTGACCTGATCTTTAATTTTTTTATTTTTTTTTAAGTCTCTACTGAACAAGGCTCTTTGAGTAGTTCACCACTTCAGAGACTAACCTTAGGGTTCAGCTCAGGTATGGCATGGTGATGAATACAGTTGGCCAGTTCTGAGTCACAGAGGAACACTTTGGGCTTTTTAATGTAGTATTTTTACATGTTTTTAAACTCGGATGGCATGCTTAAACCACTGTGATGTGGGAAAAGGAAATATCTTCAATTTTTAAGGTTATATGGATGGTGTGTGAGAAACTACAAGCATCATTTCTGCTGCCAGTGAAATGAAGACGGATCAGTATCATATAGGTGCTGCTAATTAAATACACTATATAATGGAGAAAAACAGACAAACAGAAAGTGCGTGTTTGAAAAGGATGAGATTTTTATACCTAAAAATAGAATGGCAGTATAGGTAAAGTCAGCAAAATTGTGCCTGAATAAATCATAACATTGAACAATGAGAACAAAATGGAGATGGTATGTTATAGAACACATTTTAAGAAATCTAACCTTCATAACACCAGCTGTAAGCATGGTGTTGAAGTCATAGAGAAAACAATTTATAAAGAATTACAATGTCCTCATATGTAAGACCTGTAAGAAAAAGAAAGTGTTTTTCTTTCTTTATCATGTGACTACTAGTATGGCAACCGAAACCTGCTATCACAAGTTCACTCTTGGGGCAGGAAATTGCCTCTTTCGTTCATATGTTTAAAGAAACAACACCATCCTTTTTTTTCCTTTGGCAGGAGGGAAATGAGCTATCACTCTTTCACTGATGATGTAATTAACTCACTCCTAACCCTGTGCTTGTTTTATTCTAGAGGCATTGTTAAATATGTACCCATATCTGCGATGAGACCTGCTCGGTTGTAAGATCTGACAAAAACAAAAAATAAATCCAGCAGTGTATAGTTTTTTTTTTTTTAATGTTTAACTGGTTTTGTTGTTTAGAAAGCATCTTTTAGGATGACACCGTGAGTTATTTACATTACTCAAGTGACAGAAAGGCACGGGTTCATGGTTAATAACAGCAGAGTGGGGTGGAGTGATGTATGGTTATGGCCAATTAGATCAGCCAGGAGCAGATTTATGACCGAGTCGACCATTTGTCTCTTCCTGTCTGCCTCTCTCACACGTACGTATGTCCTTTCGTGTCTTTTATGTTATTTTTCCCCCCACAGTCATTGAAGTTATGGCGGTTCATGCACTGTATCTTGTTTCTGTATCAATTAAAGCAGGAGGAATGTCTTTAGAAGAGATGTGAGACCATCATTCTAAACTAACATGCCTGCTAAACAACCCTCACTAAAGAGACACACATCTGTACAACTAAGCATCTGGATTTGACTCTGTGTCATAGAGCTCAACATATTATATCATCTTGCATACCACAGTTACACATATTTCAATTTTTAACGGGCTCAGGCTCTTGCCTGCGTGTGTGTTCATTTCTGTTGCTTTAAGGTTTTGTCTATATATGGCTTTGTTGCTTTTGCATGCATTTATTATTCGCTCATCGTCCATGTGTGTGTTCTCCCACAGAATTCAAGTCTTTACCTGAGATGGCTCAGTAAATATGTTTGTCGAACAAGCAAGTAATTTCCTCCCTCATTTATGAGCCTAGTTACAACACTACTGAAAAAAACATATTTCCTGATAAACTGATAAAACAAATAAACTTTAATTATTTGAGCTTTTTCCCATTTATAAACATACATTGACTTATAAAAACTTAAACTTAGGTTATTTGCTGTTCCTTTGCATATTACAGCTGATCAGTTGTATACTGATACAAAGCCAACTTTTCCATTTGAATTCATATTGAAACTCAATCAGTGAGTGTCAGGGTTGGATTGCTTTATCTCCATTCTTAAGGTATTAAAATGCGATGCTGTTCCTGATAGAACCTCATTAGTTGAGATTACACAACACACCAATAGCTTCCCTTTCTTCCAAATGTCCTGTCTGCTCTGAGCTTCCCATGGCAGGCTGCCAGCTAAAAAACAGTCCCCCCTGCTCGTGCTCTTATCTTCTCTGGAACATTATTTATTCCATTGGAGCGCTGGCTTTATTAAATGCCCACATTATTACAGATGGACTGCAGACTGATTGCTGAGAGCAAGCGTCCAGATAAGGCAGGAGAAGCAGAGCTGGTGCAGGCTGTGTGTGGGAGTTTGCTAGATGGGAAAAAAAAAAAAAAAAAAAAAAGTCTGTGCAGTGGATTGGGGTCATGTTGCTCCAGAGAGTCAAATGAATTAGTGGGCACCTTCAGGAAATTACACTTGCTGGAGTGCATGCAGACATGCATGCCCTCATGTGATGCGTTGGGTTTGTTTTAGTGTGTGCTGGTCCCTCCAGGCCTCATCATGAAAAGACATGCTCTGCCAATCAAGGCCAAGGTCGTGGTTGTTATTAGCGCGAGACAACAGCATCATTCTGTTGTCTGATTGAGGCCAACAAGAGTTCTATAGGTTCCATTTGTGGCCTCTGGAGACTCTTTTTTTCATATGCACCCATATCGTGAACATCCGGCACACCGCAATGACCCTGACTGTTCGTTGATCACTTTCAGACATTGTTTCAGATCCACTTTGTTCATTAAGGAACTGTCAGCTTTATGTTATCACGATTATTAAATAGGTGCTGTTTGGTTTTTATTTCGTCTTTGAAACGTAGGTGAAATATTTCTGTGTATAAGTCTGCATTAATGTGCTTCTGCCTCCAGGTTCTGAGACCTTGAGACAAACACTGTTCAAATTATGATCTTATTAGCATAATCCAGAAATAGGGATCCTCTTGTTTTTCCTTCAGCTTTTAAACGAATAGCCGATGGCAGCCTTGAATCTGTTGACATTAAACTTATTTTGTGATGTGATGCTTTCAAATCTAATGTTGACTTTGGAAATACTTGGTCAGACAAAGACTGTCTCAATGGCTCAATTGCCTATTTTCTTTTTCTTATCTGGGATTTAACCAAGATTATGTGGTCTAAATGTGCTGAAACAGTTGGCTACAGATTAGTTCAAGTTTCCTAGCATTACTTGCATTCATCATCCAAAATGCTGTCAGGATGCTGTGTAAAACTAATATAAAAACTAATTTGAATCCCAACATTCAAAATGTAATCCATAACAGATTAGAAAAAATATGTTAAACATTGAAACTGAAATTTTCTCATGAAAAACTTGCATTCTGAAAATAATAATAGCTTTATGTCTCAAAACAGTTGGGACATGTCAATGGTATACAAGTCAGTGGCCTTTACAAAAAAGAAACAGTGATGTTGTAACATATAAGGTTAACTTGGGATAGGTTTATGTCATTGTTGAACATTAAAGAGTACCTTAAAGAGGCAGAGTGTCTGCGAAGTAAAAATAGAGACGCAAATATCCAAATAACTGCATTTGTAGGTACATTTTTGTAATTCTGTTCATTGTAAAATTGAAAAAACGGCAATTCCATCATCCATAGTACAAAATACCATTAAAAGATTGAGAGTATCTGGGTTTAGGAACACTTACAGAAATGAAGCTCACAGTGCCATCCACAGCTCTGTCGTACAAAGAAGAAGCGAGAGGCCATGCTGTCTGCACTGAGCCAAAGCTGATTCCACACTGCTCTGTGATCAGACAGGGTCATTTTCTAAAAATTTCTTACTGCACAACAAAGGGATTAAAAAAAAAAACGTAATCTGCTTCATCTGTTCACACAATAACTAACTGTGTCTTTGTTTACCAGCAATGGTCTTCAGATTATTTTTCTAAACTGGTATTTGCCACAGAAATGGTATTTCGTATAAAGATAGAAAGATTTAAAGATCACATAAATTCACCAATAATGAAAAGTTTTAGAGCAACATCCACTTGCCCAGATGGGGTCTTTCCAGGGATTCAGGATATACGCCTTAATCCTGGGAATTGTTAGACAAAGCATTGTTTACTTCAGCTCCATCCGTCCATCCATCCATCCATCCATCCATCCATCCATCCATGAAATCGTTCTCAAGTGTTGTTAACTATAACGTAGCACCCCTCGATTACGCTCGGTGCGCGTGCGCGTGAGCGCACTCTGCACAGTGCTTCACATCAGCTGTGCACGCGGCTGTTTGCTGACCGCTCTCTCTCTCTATCTCTCTCTCTCTCTCTCTCTCTCTCTCTCTCTCTCTCTCTCTCTCTCTCTCTCTCTCTCTCTCTGTTCACCATCTCTCGTCTGGAGTCACTTCTTTCCCTCTGATGATATAAGTTACTGTAAAGAGACAAAAAAAAAACAAAAGCTCTGCTCGGTGACCAGACTAGATGGAGGAATGAGGAGAGGATGGTTCTAGTTCTCAGTCAGAGGATACCGCTGTCGCAGAGGAGGAGGAGAAGAAGGGACGGATGAGAGAGCGAGGCTGCGATCGGCGGTGACTTTGGGGGGGGGGATTTCGCTCCGGTGGCAGAAGGAGACGCCACATTCTTCTGATGCCAGCGTTTCGCGGCGCGTGAGAGGGACGCGCGAAGGTGCTGGACTACCGCGTCGGACCTGCGCGTTGCTCTTTTTTTTCTTTTATTAGATGGGGGCCCCCCCCCTTTTTTTAGTTTGGCGAGGGGGGAGAAAATCTGCTTGGAAATAATCCAGTCTAAGCCAGCTGCTTTCAAACGGGGGGGAGGAAGAGGAGGAGGAAGAGGAGGGGGTGGGGGGATGCGTCTATACTCGCATTTCTCTGTAATTATTGGAGACATCCAGTGGAGACTGTTTGCCACCCCGGGGGAGCAAAGTGGACCCGCTTTAGGGGGGTAAATGAGGGCTTTTTTTTAAGAGGAGCCACCCCACCTCCTCCTCCTCCCCCCCCCTTACATAAATGTTTGCGTGCCGTTAGTGCTCTGGCTCTCGGTCGACCCCCTCTCTTTCGGAATAGGCTGCTGAGCCTCGCGCGCAGGCGGACGCATCTCGCGTGCATCTAGACGCTCGCGGATACTGGACACTATTGCGCGCGCGCGCACGTGCGTCTCATGCATTTCTAATCAAACGGGCAGACTTCACCTCTGTCACCTCATCCAACCCGCCGCCAGCCCTCTCCCCTCCTCTCTCCCCCCCACCCACCCCCCATACCCCCACTGTCTGATGACTCCCCGGCGCACAGGTGGACGTGGTACGGAGCCTACTGTAGCATCATCATCATCCTCATCATCCTCATCATCCTCGCCATCCGCCCCTCTCTCAGCGACACCATGTCCTCGTCGTCGCGGAAGATCTCCTCGGAGTCGTTCAGCAGCTCGGTGGGCTCGGATTGCGGACTGGAGAGCCCCGGGGGAGACGGGGGGGACGGCGGGCCGGAGCTGGCGGAGGACAGCCGCGGGTGCCCCTTCTCCTCCTTCCCGTCCTCCCACAGAGCGGTGCTGTGGAACGGCCGCAGCCCCGCCGACAGGCCCGCGTGCCCGGCGGGGGAGGAGAGGCACGCACCCTGCGCGCCCCACAAGAGGGTGACCCGCAGGAGACGCGTGAACCTGGACTCTCTGGGAGAGAGCCTGAAGCGACTGACCTCCCCCACGGTAAGCCCGCATGCGTTCATTCGAAATAACCTTTTTGGAAAGTTTTTCCGGCCTTTAAGGCATCTTCAAGAGCGCACGAGGACTCCAGATAATATGCCCGACGCTGATGTATGGATCTGTAGAGCAGTGTGCTGAAGACCATTTTTATTGTAGCCTATTTTGAAAGATATAATCATCAGTAATCCAGAGTTACAAACTCCAGAGCAAATGGAAGTTTTCACTATCCAATAGGGGGTGGATCATGTTAGATTACAGACAAAGACACTTCTGACCCATTACATCCTGATTCTTTGAAATTCCAGACAATGTCCTCTGCTCTTTTCTACGAACAAAAAACTCTTTACCTCCCTCACCTCTGACAGCCTGCATCATCTGGTGGATTATATAACGCCAGAGATGCTGTTGTGAGGGAAAGCGAGAGATGCCCATGGCCTGTCCGCATATGTAGAACGGTGTGAGAGGTGTGAAGGATGAGTCCGTTCCTGTCTGTATCTCAGTTGTAGTACAGGCCGTAATGCAATAAAACAGAGATTAAGGCTGAGCTCCATTGCGGGCGACGGCGTGTGATTAGGAAGTTTACTTTTGCCTCTCGACATCAGTTTGTCCAAGTTGCAGGCAAAACATTTGAGAAGATTTCAAACTTGTACTCTGTTCAGTACTCCAATATCGACATATGTGGAGTTTTAGAAATGATTAGGTGTCTTTGATTTCTATCCTGATGTGTTATTTTCCTTGGCACTTGCCAGAAATGTTGCATGTCGTAGACATGTTGTGACAGGTTGGCTATGGTTAACATGAGCTGACAAGGTTTAATTTTACCACCCTGAATTTAAATCCAAACTGACAGAGTTTAACTAAAAAGAATGAGTCTGATTCTCATCCGTACTCGCAGCACAAGAAAGCAGTGTGCTGCAAACCACATGGATCAATGTTGATATGAAATATGGTCCCATTAGCTTGATAATGGTATCATTATTTTGGATAGCCTGCTTTACACAGACATCTTTACCGTATTGGTCACATTGACAAAAGCATAAGCAGTGGTTATTTATCCATACATTTGATTGGTTCTGTCTGAAATCATTCTGTAACTAATTCATCACATGAAAAATAATCCATCGGTTTATGAAATATCAGCCCTCTGATTGACAGTTTGTACGGTCACACTGGCTCTTGGTCTGTTTACGTTAGGTTGAAGTCTTGCTTTTTCATTAAACTGCAGGAGGTTGCGGGAAAATATCTCTCCTGCAAATTCCCATCCTCTTTTTTTTCTCCGTTGCAAGGGAGAAATAGATGTTGCAGGATTTTGCTGGTTCTTTATTTCACCCCCATTTTTGTCCTCATGCTCTGTTTAACAAGATAATGAAATTCAGAAGCGCAGTTATAAAACTGAAGTTGTTGTATGCTGGAGAGGACCTCTGAGAGCCAACTTCAGTTCTCTGCAGCAGCTCTTACCGGCCCTGATCTTTACTAAATGTGTGAAAAAAAATAGGGAAATGGGTCCACTTAAAGACGGATTTGTATAACATTCGGTGACGATGATATCCAGCATTTATGGGGGGGTGACATTATGGAACTGCATGGCATGTGTTTGTTTGCCTGTAAGTGCAATTGTAGGCAACAGTTTGGAATCAATGGAGCTGCAGTGATGTGCTTTGGGCACAGAGACACTGAAAGGGTAAATGTGCAGCTCGTTTTTTGCAGTCTGGTGCATGTTCCTGGTGTAGTTCGCTTTACAATACACCAAGTACCGAGTGATTAAACAGTAATTGATGTTGTAAGTAGCACCATACAGAAGCCAATTAGCCTTCAGTTACATAAATATACTCACTCTCTCACCAACAGCACGCTGTTTATCTTTTCTTGCCTTCCCTCACACACATGCAGACGCTGCTTGTGCACACACAGGGACTGCGGGCAGAAGCACTGTTTAGTGCAGTGGACCGTGACTGACAGAGAAGAGCATGCTCTCAGAGTTGTCTTCACCCTGACCACACTGACCCAGAAACGACGCACAGACAGGCGCACACGCCGATTTAAAAACGTACCAGCTTTAATTTTTTCTTCATCACTTTCAAATTTGCAGCCGTGCGTCACATGCCAATTCAAAGGCCCTGACATTATAGGTCCGAGTCTGTAAAATCAGTGTGCGTTCTTGTTGATCCACGTCTTTGGTTGAATTGGCCATCAGGAAAGAAATGATAAACGTTGAAGCTACTTATGGTGTTTGCCATTTGTAAATCCATGTGACTTTATCCTTTTACTATAAAGAAAGATTTGGACTTTTCAAAGGATTGTGATGCAATCCTTTGAAAAGTCAATTCAAATGGGGTGTCAACCAATGCTACATAAATTAGCTCACGCTGTAACGGTTTAAACTGCTACTGACTAAGGTTATCCTATAAATGTATGTTTGTAAAGAAAGTGAGGGATAAGAAATGGCACTTTCCACACATTTTCCAGAAGGAATGAAAATGAAAATGTGACCACCTGCATCAGATTAACTGGGATTAGCCCAACCTGCTCTTTAATAATCCAATTTTTCAAACCAGAACCAATCTCACTGGGTGTGTCTATATGGACAGTAATATTTCAACATTAGAAGGCAATATTTAAACTTGTGTAGAGAATGAGTTACTATTCTTTATTGCACATTAATGGGGGACATAAATAGATATATAGCATAAATACAATTCAGGTAGACATCATAATTACATTTTTAGCTTTTTTAGAATAAGATGGATAGTTGCAATATTGCTGTGCATTTAATGATATATCACAGTTTCAGCTCAATCAGCGTTGATTTTTGTTCCAGCAGAATGCACATAAGGGGAATCGATTTAACCAAATCAGTTCATTTTAGTTGATTTTATTGTTTGTAACCAAACAATAAAACCATGGTTTGTATTAGAGCAGAGTTGTAGTCTGGTAATACTGGAAATGGGCCGATTTAGAACCTCAGGTTCTGAGGACCACAGGGACCATTTGGATCTATCCATCCACGTTATAAATTTCCTCAAAGCTATATAGTGTGTATGGAGAATAGTGATAACCGGGCCAGCGTATTATCAATAAACGTCAGTTCATCTGATCAGAAATATGAGCGAATCACTGAAATATTATTAAGACTTTTTCTTTGGCATCATAATCAAAGTTGCCAAAAATACCCACATCAAAATGAGCATTCTGTCTTGGTGCTTTATTTATGTTTACAATTCTAGCTAAACTGAGCTCAGAAGCATCCGATATAAACTGGCAGTTGTTCCTACTCTGTCTTTTGAATGCCTTATGCTGGGGTTTGTCTTACAAAGTTTCATCTGGGGGAAGAGTTTCTGTTTACTTTAAAAGCGCTTGCTGATTTCCGTAAACTGAGCAAACAAAAGAGTCCGAAGGATTTTGATTCAGGGGATGGGAGCTCGAGAAATAAAGAAAAGAGGGGCGTATAGCCCAGTTCTTCCGAAACACCCTATCTTTGAGACTGTCATTGCTATCATTTTTTTGCTTGCTCTTCTGCTTTAACACTAATTTAGTTGGCTATTTTTAGTTGATCAGCATTACTGTGTTTCCACGCATCGTGTTTTAACATCTTTATCCTGGAACCAATTGCTGTCAATTTGGTGGAAACGTTTCTGTGTGCGGCTCAGTGAAATTGAGTGTGATGTAATATTGAGACCTGCCAGAGATGTGACAATACAGACTAATGCGGATGTTTGTGTACAGTATGTCTGATTGGCTGATAACATTGTGCGCTGCCGTGTTTGGCTCATGCTGTGGAGTCGTGCTCTATACTACATTTTAATGAACAGCAACATTAAGGGGGGAGTTTCTGTCCCACCGGTGCATACTCAGAAATATTCTACTTCTGTGTAAGTAGGGAATGGTGACATCTTTCCTGAGAAACACTCCGATAGCAAGTTAACATATGGTCGGTTTCTGATAAATGTACGTTTTTGTTTTTAACTTCATGTCTAATGATTAAATGAAGCAGAAAAAAAGGGTCTGCACGTAGAGGAGAAGCACCAAACAAATGTGGTGATACCGGACAGAGCTTTGTTCTTGAACCCACCCTCTGACTCTTTCACTGTAACTCCACAGTTACTGCAGCTTTCCTCTTTATCATTTTTCCTTCATCATAGGCTCACGACTACACATACTGTACATGCATCCAAACACGCACACAATCTCTCATGTGCCTGTCTGTGGTGGTCGAAGGTCTCAGATTGACCTTTCGAGCTGGCACACTGTGTTCCAGTATTGTCACAACAGCCCCGCGTTTCAGCCGTATCACAGATAATCACATTGGACCCGCCCTCTTAAGCTTCGGCTGTCAGTAGCGCTAAACATGCCAGCTGCATGCAGAGACTCTGAGGCTGTGTGTACATCGTGGTCATGGGGATATCTTTATGCAAGCCTTGTCTTTGCAGAACTATGAGAGAAGGATCTAAAAATTAAATGTAAAATGAAATGAACGACAGAAATAATAATAATAGTTGCCAGAGTACAGAAGAGGCGAGCCTCTTTCAGCCATTTTGACCAGTACCAGATAAAGCATAGGTATTTGTTGACATTTTTAACGTCTGCCTCCGGCTGAACCGTCCCAGTGAGCTGTGGCTGTGAACCTCTGTTCACACATGAAGGTTCCTGAAACTGAGCAGCTAAATTGAATTCAGTCAATATTGATTTTGTTGACACCCGCGCTTCACTGCGAGTTGTCAAAAATGTCCTCTGAGAATAGGCCCGTTCAATGAATGACAAGACGTTCGGCGATACTTCCCCACAGTTCTTGACTCTGCTTAGATGAACGCTATGTTCACAGATGGTGCCAGAAGCAGCCCTCTCCCACTCTCAGCCAAGTGGCAGAACCATGTTTCTGTCATTCCCGTGCACTCTGTATTAGGTGAAATAAAGCATACAGAGATTGATTCATCCAGTAACCAACACACACACACACACACACACACACACCACCACTGACAGACTGAGTCTTCACGTTGATGTGAATTCTTTGATTCATCAACATGCTTTCTGTGTAATTACTTTACAAGAAGCATACTTTCTGAATAATAGATTCAATCACAGATTCAAATGCATTTGTATTGTTTCTTGCAATACAAAAAAGGATTTTGTGTTATTCCTAAAGAGGGTTGATTTCAAGATGAACAGTAGCTCATCTGGGAGAGCACTTGTACCCCAAACAAGAGGATTTGCTAATCAATCTCTGATTTCCTCCTTCTCACACAACAAGGTAGCCTGACATTTTTCATTTTATTTTTATTTTATCTCTCCCACTTCTGTGAGAATTAAAATGAAACCTGATATTCAGTATATTTTTTCTCTTCTTTGTACTGGACACAACATTTTATTTTTAGAACTTCTTTAGAAAGATCTTGGCTCCTTTGGGGATTTTTTTCTGCATCTGAACCTTTAATTCATGTTTGGATTTGAACTTGAAGTTAATATTTTAAATTCACCAGTGAAAAAAAACAACTTTTGAAAACAAGAAACAAATAGTGGAAAAGTGGTGTGGATACATGCATACCCTTTACTTTTTATTTTGATCCCTGAATCAAGATCTGGTGGGGTTGATTGCCACAATTATTTCAGTTTTGTATACTTTTGTGCATATCTGCAAAAATATATCTACTGACAAAAGCCTCACTCTGCAATGTCACCAAGCAAGTAGCACAAAAAAGTGCAAGGGCCCTCTGAAAAGTTCAAGGACAAAGTCCTGGAGAACACACACCATGTGGTCATCGCTTACACAAAAACAACATCAACATCATTCAGCTGTGGGGATAACATCAGTGTTTTAGGGTTCCTATTTTCACCATGTTTTTTCTTGCTTTTTATTTACATTACAAACACTATGCTGCACTCTATCTTGGAGCGATAAATCCACATTTTCCCTGATGTTTTTATTTCTTCTTGCAGACGCAGACTGTTCAGGAAGCTCTACAGCGAACCCTACAATTCTACAGACAGCAAGAAATCAGGTATTACCGTCATATCCTGGCGTCAGTGCCAGTCAGTTCCCCTTTATTTTTCCCACTTTTCTGCTAGACTTAACGCACTGTCAGCCTTTACTAGCTTTTCATCGCATCGGATACTTTTGTTCCGCGCATGGACACACTCCTTCACTTCTTGTCTTTTTCCTGTCAAAAAAAGAAAGTTACACTTGCAATGTTCACAAAGCACATGCTGCATACAGATACAAAGATGCTGGACCGGGAACTGCTCTGCTCACTTCGGTTGAGTTGGTCGGGACTTTCTGATGTGAATCTAGAGATCAGTTTTCTTTTTTTCATTTGCACCGGAAATGTTGAAAATGCTTTAGATAGATAGATAGATAGATAGATAGATAGATAGATAGATAGATAG